AGCAACGCCGCTTTGCCAGGCGCCACGACGCGCCACCAGACCAGGATACTGCAATGAAAAGAGGAAAGTTCCACAGAAGGAAGATAAAGAATTCAAAGCGAAATCAAAAGAAGAGTAAGGAGAAAATAAAATGTATATCAATAGGTGGTATAAATATATATATGAAGTAAATAGGTAAAGTAGGATATTTTTTCACATATTTAAAAGTTTAGATTAGGAGTAGTAAATATTACAATATAGGTAATTTCAAAAGAAATAGTATAGAATTAATGACAAAAATTATTTTAAAAGGGTAATTTATTGGATTTATTGGGTAAGAATTATTTAAAAAGGGTATTTTATTGGGTTTTATTAGGCGTAGACAATTATTTAATCTACGCTTATGTGCATTTAACAAAAGTATGTTTTATTCTTAGAGATATATGTTTATTTTTAATGGCCAGGAAATAAATAATAGTATTGTTTCGGTAATAAAACATACTAGCTTTGATTGTTGATTCGTTTCGAAAACAAAAATGGGGAGAAATACAAATTTATAAAATCTTAGTGGGATTAATTTTGAAATTTGATATAAAATAAGAACTGCATAAATTTGTAAGTCTCAGAGAATTAGAAAATGCTACCTACTCAAAAAAAAATATATTCAATATTCATAGTAAATATAAATAATTGCGAGATAGAGATATAAAAATAAATAACGTTTTCTAGTTCATTATTAAAAAATAATTTTGGTATATTATAAAACATATTTGTTTTCGTAACTGTAAATGTGCTTTTGGGGTAATTAAGGAAATTTGTATAAAAGATTTGTTTTTTTGCTGGAAAACCTGAAATGTAAATAATAATTTTGTCATAGGGGTAATCAAAAGACGTTGCCACTGCACAAGAAGAAGAAAAAGAAAAAAGAAGAAGGAAAAGAAGAAAGAAGAAGAGGTCAACACCGTACTACCTTTGCCAGAGTCACCATCAGCACCGTTTCCAGGACGATCACGAAGTCCAAATCGTGATAGTTATTAAAATCCAGGACCGTACCAAGGGACCCCAGAGTTCCACGATTCCACGGCAGAGAATTGGCCGAATTCCAGGACTCCAGAATCCAAGGCTACAAAGAGACTGTTCCATCCAAATCCGCCAACCAGTACCACCAAGCTCTCAGAGGGCATGAGTTATACCGCCAAGGGAGCTTGACATGATGTTGGATCCATTTTGAGTCTGTGGGAGCCAAATCCACAGCAAGAAGAAAATGGAGTCAAATGCGGAAAAAAGGGACCAAAGAATTCATATGGAATGGACTTAAGGTTCAATGAAAGAGGCCATTCCCAGTAATGAGTCAATAGGGACCTACCAGTAGCAGCCGTGTACAGCAGCCATGTACCGTAGCAGTCTCACAGTAGCAAGCCAGGGAAGCAGTCCAAAGTCAGAGTCTATTGGAAAATTGATAGACTACCGCAGCAGAAAGAACCTGTAACCTCAGCCAAAAGGGTTACCAGGTTTAGCAGCCCAAGGACCAAACCAGATCGGGAAGGGACCATTCCAGGAAGGCCAAGGATCAGGGGATGTGAGAGGTGACAGCCAGAGAGCAAAGGGTAGTTACGGCCAGTCAATTAAGAAGACCAAAGAAGACACAACTTGTGCAGTGAAGCAAGCGTGAGGTTATCATATTATTGTAGATTGTTTTAAAAATTTTTGTAAATTATTTACATTAAGGGTTTTAAAAAGAATTGAACAAGTAGTTCAATTTTTTTTCTGTCGGGGGAATAATGTAATAATTGGCATTATTATTAATTGAAAAAATCTAAAGAATTTACCAAAAATTCTAAACAAGTATTTAATGTTTAAATTAAATAATTAAAAAGACACTTATGACAATGAAACAAACCTTCATTTTATTAATTTACATTGAACGTGACATTGTAAAATACAATCAACAGTCACATAAATTTTGGTTTATATAGAAAGGATCACTTGGGGGAAACGCGCAGTCGGGTTCGGACTAAGGTCCAGAACTTTCGCCCCTCGGGCGAAACCCTGGTTTTTTTATTGTAAAGTAATGTGTAAAGTTTTTGTGTACGATGTGAATTATGGGTAAATATTTTAACTTAATTTTGTTTAATAATAATTGATTAATTGATTTACATATAAATGCCAATTTTACATTTTCGTCCCGAATTATATTTTATGCTTATCTTTATTACTATTAGTTATAGTGCATTATTCTCTAAATGGAATTTTATTCATTTTTTCTGAAGACTATTTGTCAAGTTTTTTATTTATTGTTAATATACATTTGTTAATGTTTTAATACTTATTATTAATCTCTCCTCCTTTCCCAAACCAGCAAAATACTCCGAGCATTTGAGAAGCCTCGGCGTTTCTATTCCCTTAGGACTAAAAGAGTTTAAAACTAGTTGCCAAGAACCGCTCGACATATGCTATTAAGGGATGTTTTTTTGTAATTTATTATTTTTCTTTATTATTTTTTTTTTTTGCCACTGGCGAATGGATGTTCCTTCAGGACTCCAGGACCCTTTGGCTGGTGACAGGCGCTGCCTTTATCCCTTAATAGTATTAACAACAGTAGCTAAAGACCTATCAGTAGTTACAAATGGTCTTTAGACATAACTGGTTGTTACATTTGGTGACGAGCGTTGGTCTTTAGGATGAACTGGTTGTTACATTTGGTGGTGTGGTTTGTTAGAATATAAATCAGTTCAACTTGTTCCGTTGATACATTTAGGTAAATAACGTGTTAGTAGCGATTATTTTAATAGAAGAAGACGAAGAAGCATTGTTAGTGTTTAAATGGTAATGAGCAAAATAATGAATTATTTTAACTATATTGTCTTTTCAACTTTCTGCTTTTCCCTTCCTAAAGTGCGGGATGTTCCTATACCTTATTAATCAGTATTTCTTCCTCTTCAGAAGAAACTGTTGACATTATATTATTTTAATTATAACACAAAATATCCTAACCCCACTTCACTTGACACTCAGTTCAGCTGAACGAGTGGGTCCAAATCAAAATATTTCGAGGTAATCACACTGCTGTCTGCCTAACAGTGCTGACTCTAACAAACCATGTCCATAGTATTACCGTTGTTAGATTTCAGCGGACGTGCGCAGCGCTCAGCAGACTGTGAGTTTTGCGTCGCGCACTGTTCTAACAAACCGTAGCTTAACGGGCTTATAACGCAAACTACTATTAACTAAATATCGAATTAAAAAGTAACGTACCGAAATAAACTAAGTAGGTCTTTACTCTAGTCAATTGCTTTTTTTACCCTTTCAGACATCCCTCTGTTCCCCCAATCAGGCTTGGCTCCAGCCACTGGCTCTCTTCAATCAGGTTTGGGGTCCACCTTGCTTTTCCTCCTCTGAGGTTCGCATGGCGGCACTGAAGCTCAGATGGTTTATTGTACAACCATTTGGATGCTCTACCCCTTCCTATGCATTCTTCCATCCATTATATATGGTCTAAGCGGAGTTAGATCACCAACTCAAACCGAAACCAGAGCCTCAACACTGGGGATTTGTAATCGTTGTTTTGAATACCTTTCACAACACTCAGCGCCTCGGCTGGTCAATGGCTTAATAATACGTTAATATTCTTCAAAATATTAATGAAAAGAAAATTCGTTGAGCAAGGGCTAGGCCAGAAACTCTGGTCGTAAGGCCGCTTTAGCAGTCCAAATTACATAATCAAATAGGAAGTTCACCATCATCTGTCTTACGAGAACAAACTTAATTATTATTGTTGTTATAAAAACGTTTGAACATATTATCAAAATAGTAAACTAAACCGTAGTAGGTTAAATTTGTTTATTATTTGTATATATAAATAAATCCTGTTTATCTTGAGACTAATAGTTTTTGTAATGTTTTTAAATATAAAATTGTTAACTGTTTATCATTTTTCTTTATCGTTTGATTATCTACCCACTTATCCCTTTCCAAAAATACTCCCGAGCAATTGTGAAGCCTCGGCGTTCCTACCCCTAAGGACTATCAAGAGTCTTTAACCATTTACCAAAACCGCTCAACTATGCTATTAAGGGATTATTTTGTGTTTTTTTGCTACGGGAGTATGGATGTTTCTTCAGGTCTCCAAGTCCCTATAGCTGGAGACAATATTGCCCTATTCCTTAATAGTACGAGGTGATAGTGATCTAAATTAGTTAAAGACTAGTTAGAGACCTTTCAGTTGTTACACTGGCGACTGCGGTGGTTCTCTAAGTTATTTAAATAGTTGGAGCTTCTATTTAATTAGACACCTTCCAGTTGTTAGTGTTGATAAAAAACGGTGTTTAAAATGAGGAAAGCCACCTTAAGAAGAGATGGTCCAGGTATATACAGAGGTTTGGCTATGAAAAATCATCTATGAGCCATTTCTTTAATGTCGTCCATTATAAATTGTACTCCAATAATTATTATGAACAAATAAATATCCCATTATTTGTATCAAGAACTACTTTTATTCCACTTTCAAGAACAATTATCACATTACAAATAACAGCTGTAATTTTCTTTACTCGGATTAATATTATGTTGTTTACTTAAGTAGGAGATATTCGTCTGGTCTCGATCTATGGCTTACTCATACCAGAAATTCAAGTATATGACCCTCGATCAATCAAAGCAGGCATATTCATGTATGTTTTCCCATGGCCTGTGATGAGCTGAATCTACTACCGCACGCATATTAGCATGTCCAATCCCAATCAATGATAAACAAAACGCTCTCATAAAAATTTACTGTCTAGTGTCACTACCAACTTGTTTGGCATACAAATTACGTCATCACTAATGCAACGTATAATCACCCTCTGAATGAATATACTTCTTTTTTTTTTTCAGCTATAAATAATATCGTTTTAGTTCGTTTTATGCGAATTAAAAACTTTCAGTTTCGGTCTTATATATCTTTCTACAAGGAGACAAGACATCTAGAAATTTAAAACGGTACGAATCTTCTTGAGGTGAGAAGGTAAAACATTAAAGACCCACCAAGCTTTGAAAATTACCCGTATTTTATTTCCAAATGCAAAGAAAACCCTCTTTTGGGAATAAAATAATAAGAACATAAACAGTTTTTATATTATTTTTAAATAAAAAATAGAAAAGTGTTTTTTATTTTCTTCAAGTCCAATTATCATCTTCTTGAAAAACTTTACTTTTTGCATTGTCTTCTCTTTCTACTACCATTGTTTCTGGCTGAATTGTCATTTTGGATAGAGCACTGTTTCTGCAAGAAAATTAGTGTATATTTTTATTTTTTTAAATATACATGTCGCTGGGCGTACTAAATAATCTGGCATTTTGTAATTTTTAAACCAAATAATTTCTGTAAAATCCTATTCCTTTTCAGTCACTTTGCAGAACTGGGCAAATTAAACAAAGATGATAAGGATAATATATTTCTGCAAACATCCTGTTTTCAGTCATTTTGCAAAATAACTAAAAATAACGATCGATATATTTGTTTGAAATGGCTAGTCAGATTGCACAAAATATTTAAGCGGGTTTTTGTAAAGTTATCCTAAATTTATTCAGATTTAAATAGAATGACCACAAGTAATCTATTTAATTTTGACCGCTCCGGGAAGCTGCTGTACTGGAATCCAATTTTGAGGGACAAGGGTTACATAAATATTAATAATATTAATACTCTAGTGTCTAGTGAATTTTAACCCCAAAAGCTGAGTTTGTAAGGGGAACGGACAGTAATTATTATTATTTGCGCTAGCGGGGAAAACCTGCTAAAAAATAGAATGATGTGCAACTCAAGATGCCACTTCAGTAACAGCTGTATAATAAGTAATTTTTACTTTTACCTAATAGTTAAGCGTTTAACGCTTTTTTAAAGCACTAGTTTATCCATCCCGAAAAGTTCAGTTTGAATCCAATTTTTGTAATTTTTAGTAAATATCTAGTCTTTGCAAAATGCCAAGTTAGTTAATTTTCTAGGCTATATTTTTTCCAAAAAAAAATCTCCTCGCCCTCGCTAATAAATGAAAACTGCTGTTTGAAAAAATATATTACTACTCTATCATTATTTAATTTAACCAGTTCTGATGAAACATTTTGCAAAGTGACTAAAAATTAATAGATTTTTTGCAAATAAATTTTTCTTTAAAAATCCGGGGTTTTACAAAAAGTCGGATTATTTAATGCCCCTGCGACATATTATACTCGTACAAGACAAAAGTGAATATAATATTTCATAATTATAACAGGGAATTGAGGTATTTTGTTTCTGCGTCTAGTCAAGTTTTTGAAATAAAAATTCCTTGGTGGTTTAGGATGATGAAAAAACTATCAAATGGTTACAAGTGACAGCAAAGAAAGAGTTAAACTCAAACATAACCCTGATTTATAAGTAGGGTTTCTTACTAAATGAAATGAAGAGCCATTTTTTCTTGTGACTGAAATGCAATAAAAAAAACTAAACTCAACTAAAATTGTTTTTTAAGGAACAGCAACTAAGCAGATATTTGGTATCTCTTCACTGAAACTGTTTGAAAAAGAGGATGATGAAATTAACGAATAAAATAAATAATGTACACTTACACAGTTAAATATAAGGTACGGCAAAATATACACAGCAAAGTTTTTTTACAAAAAAATTCGCGTAAAATTTAATTTTTTTTAAATACTAAAACATGTAACATTTTTTATAAAAAACAACATCGAGTAAATGGTCGTCACGACAAGTCAGACAATGATCAAGTCTATGATACAGGTAAAACTTTGCGCAATATTTCAGGTGGAATTTGCGCGATTTCTACACGAATGTTTTCCTTAAGTCTTCTAACGTCTGTGGACGACTAATATAGAATTTAGTTTTCAAGTATCCCCATCTGGTGCCGTCAAATCAGAAGAATAAAGAGGTTTCTCAATATTCCCAGAGCACAGACGCAGGGAAAATGTCTCCAAGAAAAGCGATATTTCGCACGTTTTGTGGCATGTAGCGCTATCCTGCTGGAACCAGAATTTTCCTATGCCACGTTCATGCAACTGTGTGCAGAAATTCTCGTATCATTGTTCGATACCGTTCTCCATTGCAAGAACACCCGTAGTTCAAAATACATTAATTTTGGAAATATAACCGTCGTGTTGGTTATAATGTTAACTAATTTTGAGGTTTTCACCGTCTATTTGGAATACCGTGAGTCTATCCGTAATAACTGATTTATTATTTTTATTTCGTTCCACTGACTGTAATTTTGTAAATATTTCCTAATATTAATTAACTTCCTCCTAATTAACTAACTTCGAAGTTTTCACCGTTTATTTGGAATACCGTGGGTATATCCGTATTCATTGATTTATTTATTTTTTTCAAGCTACTGATTGTAAATAAAGACTCGTAGTTATTTGAGCTGCATATATTTTCCTGGCTATCCGAAGTGTACCGTGATTTCCGTTATAAATATATTATTTTTTTATAAACTTCTCTTAACTGTACCCCGCACTTTATCTGGCTCTTCCAGGGTTACCTTAAGGATAAAAGGTGCAGGATAATTACACTGCTTACGTTGACTAAGGTAGGTATTACAAGTGTTAGTGTTCTTTCAGTTGCAAGTGACCGCCTGAAATTTAATATACTCTACTGAATCTACTTTTAGTGTACTCTAAATACACTTAAGCGTCGCAGAGCAAACTGTGTTACCAAAATTGGCTCCTGGGCAGCCTTTTTTTATTTACCACCCTTAGCGCTACACACAACTTCCACTTCATAGCAGGTGCAGCCAGAAGACGTGCAACAAAAACGAGGATTTTCTGTTCCCCAATAACGATAATTTTGCTTGTTAACGCAACCAGAAAGGCTAAAATTTGCTTTATGGCTCATTATCACATTTTGCAAAACAATGGGTTTGTTTCCATTATGTTTGTAACGATTTGTGCCTATTGCAAACGTCTTTAAATATCAATTGATCTTAGTTTGAACACAATTTGAATTTTATTTGGATATATGTGAAAGTCTAAGTGCAAAATTCTCTTAAATTCCACCCAGATAACACTAATTGCGCCGCACGTCTTCTTGTGAAAGTTTTAGGTTCTGCCTGAACATCAGCCCGAACAAGCTCAATATTTTCGCTTGAACGACCAGAACGAGATCTTACATACTGCTTTAATTCACATGATGTGCCATTTTGTGAAAATGCGTTTGCTAAACGTCGAATTATTTATCCGTGTGGATGTCTTCGATTGGGATACGCTTGTCGAAAAGCGCGTCGAGTTAAAAATTATCGAAGAAAAGTTTTGGAAATACAATTTAACATTTATTGAGGCGAATAACTCTCCATAACATAATTCTGTAGGAAATGTAAATTGTAGAGGTATGATACTTAGCAGACGAAATCTCGTCTAGTTCGCGCATAACGTATTGTGGTGTAGAATATGGGTATCTGATTGGTCATGAACAGATTAAAATTTATTATCGCGCGCTGTTTTCGATCAGCTGATACCTCAAATTCGTAAAAGCCACTCTCCACAATACGTCATTGTGACGTAGCAATCGTTCTTTTTTTTTATTTGGTGTCATCGTCATCAACTACTAAGAAAAAAGTTCTTTTATAAAAAAAAAAGTTTTGGCAACGTGAGAAATGCCCAATTGTTTATTAAATGACCTAACCTACCTTACTTACATTGCAGAATTGTCCACCCTTTTGCTTTTAACGTGCGCGGGGGAATCAGAGCTTTTTCTCTTTTTAGAAGGAGTAGGAGACGTTATACGAAGACCATTTTCTACCGATAACTGTACTTGTCGTGCAGCAAAAGTTTTTAAAGAATAACCATCGCCATTTCTGAGTGTTGTGTAGGCCATTTTTGCCTGATCCTTTTTATATAGAGCGATATATGCTGATGTTTCGTCAATCCAGGACACATAAATGTTACCTACAAAAAAGCAAAAGAAAATACAGTTGAAGATCGCTACTTGCTAAACATGTTTTATGTAAACAATATCATTAAAATAATTATCAGGGCAATCTTCAACAATTGAAATATAAGAAAAAAATCCAATTATGTTTTGTAAAAAATAAAACTATTATTGAAAAGTTCAGAGTTCAAGTACAAATATTATTGTTGAAGCCGTCTATTATAGAAATAATTAAAATGTAAGATACGGAATATGGTTTTATATCCCAATAATAATAATTAAAAAAATATTTGTTAACCAAAATGTAAAATATCATGAAAATAACTTTGACAATACTAAAAAAAAATGTCAAGATAGATTGATAAATATACAATTAATAATAATAATAATTATAATAATAATAATAAAAAAACGAATAAAGATGAGGTTACACATGTCCCCTAGTCAACCAAGATGCAAAATGTCAAAGTGGCAAAATAAACAATACTGGAGTGTGTTTAGAAACCCCGCACGGCGCGTCTGGGCCCTATTCTAATGCATGTGGTCAGACGCGCCGTGCGGGGTTTCTAAACGCACTCCTGATATAAAAGTTAGTATAGCAGGGAGAAGTTGGAATGGATTTTGGGGTTACGTTCGACTTTAGGGACACACTGTTTGATCAATTTCACTTTGTTTTTTGATTTAAATGATATTAAGTATAATTTAAACTCACCTTAGGTTTGGAAATACGAAAAAAAGTATAAATCAATTGTATGAATTTAATTAAATACTTTTTAAAAATAAGAAAACGAGTCTTTCATTAAATTTAACCTAAAACTTGAAAATTTTATTATTTGACATTTCTTAATTTATTTTCTGGATAATGAGCGGGGTTGCCAAGATTAATTTATTACTTGTTACTATTTCTGCCCTTACCGCAATATTTAAAAAACTAAGTAGTCTAGGTATTAACAGTTTAGATTTATATGTCCAATTTTTGTTTTAATAATCATGATATACAGTGTGTCTACTTAAGTTGGAACCATATGGAAAACATTTTTATTATTGATTTTAGGAAAAAAGTTATTCTTGATAAAAAGTCCTGCATGACCCAAAACCTAAAATACAGTCATCACATATTAAATTTTTCAAGCCGTATACGAGGTTTGTCAAAAAATATGAATTTTGCTCAAGAGTAAAGTACGTTTATTTTTGACAAAATCGAAAATTTTCATTGAGAAAAGTTGATTAGAATTGAATATTAAATTCAAATATGCAATTGCACCGATCTATCTGAAAAACCAGATTTTCTTATTTTTTATAAACTCTACACATTGATTGTAAATATCTGAAAACGTTATAAATTACGTTAGCTACTATAAACATGATACGCTTTCCTTTTGTTGATGTTTGTGAAGAATTTAGCAAATTTCTTAATGAAAATTTTCGATTTTGTAAAAAAATAAACGTACTTTACTCTTGAGCAAAATTCATATTTTTTGACAAACCTCGTATACGGCTTGAAAAATTTGATAACTGATGACTGTATTTTAAGTTTTGGGTCATGCAGGACTTTTTATCAAGAATAACTTTTTTTCCTAAAATCAATAATAAAAATGTTTTCCATATGGTTCCAACTTAAGTAGACACACTGTATAACTTCTACTTTCTAATAGTACAAAAAATATTTTGAAATTCGTGTGTCTTTTAAGTCGAATGTAACCGCTTTTGGTAAGTAGAGAGATGGTAAACGTCAAACCCAGTCGGAGGACTTCGAGAATTTCATGGTAATATTTGTCCGCCATTGTCGTATCATAGAATAAAAATACATTTTAAATTATTACCGGCGGATTCGGGCTAACGTATCTATTTATGAGCTAGAAATAATTATTTAAACAATAATATCAAAAAAAATATATTCAACAGCTATCAGCTATTCACAATTTATTGAACTATTTACGCGAAATTTTCTATAAATCAATAAAATAATTTTCTACGCCAATGTTTCGCGTTCACCTCGATTAGATCAGCCACAAATGTCAAATCCTGAATATGAAGTGGGATAACTGGCAAAAGCCTTTTCAACTTATATATATGTGTAGGTTAAATAGTTATTTTCCTAACAAATGTGCAAGCAAATATAGTTAGACGAACGACACGAAGCAGAGTTCGGATAAAATTTGCGGCCTCCAAGATAAAATCTGGTAGCTCCTCGCCAGTGCTGCTCATTTTAACAGCCTTTAAACCTTTTTATGATTTGATGGGGAAAAGTGTCGGTGTTTGTAGATTCTTGCTGACATATTAGTCCTAGACCTACAGGCCAATTTACCGACAGGCCAATTATTGACCGACAGGCAAATTTAGTGGAAGTTACAAAAATTATAAATAAATAATGAATAAATAAATATGATTTATTTTCCATAAGACAATACAATTGTATGGGATTCGTCAAAATACAAGTAAATAAAATAGATAAAAGCATAAAATTAGAAAATAGAATAAAATATGGGTAGGACTTATACATCAAATTCATAAAATTCAGCGAGATCATAAAAACAATATTCTAGTAAACCTTTCAATTTTCTTTTAAAAATAAAAATGAATTACTTTCCTTTATTGCAAGAGGAAGTCTATTGAACAATTTGGGCCTCAAGTAATTTGGCGCATTAGATGTTACCTTGAGTCGTGCATAAGGTATATGTAGTTCGTCAGCCTGTCTGGTTTCATATCTGTGTACATTTCTATAAGTTACAAAAATTTCTTTGTGTTTGTAAGTGTATAGGCACATTTCAAAAATAAAAATACAACAAAGGGGTAATATGCCATATTCCTTGAAGTATGGTCGACAAGAGCCTCTTTGTGAGATCTTACCAAAAAATCTTAGGACCCTTTTTTAACACGCTTATATTAGCTTCACTTGTATGTATGTTTGTAACTCTCATTTGGACTCAAGTGGCTTATTACTGTCAGTAAATCTCACTAAGTTAAGTTCGTTCGTTGGCCGAGCGGTCTAAGGCGCAGGTTTTCGATTGCCAGACTCACCGATCGTGGGTTCTAATCCCCACGGCTGAAAAATTTTTTTTTTCAGCAATTTCAACTTACAATTTTTTTTAATAATTAATCGAACTAAAAAGTAAAAAATAAATATAGTTTAAAAAACTAAAAAACACGCTTTTAGAGCATATCAAACTAAAAAGTTTAAAATAATTTTTTTAAAGCGCTTTTATTCAAATAAGTTTTAAACAATAATAAATGGAAAATACTAGTATTATTGCGAAAAAAGCGTGGGGCGCTTTGTCCATATTTCTCGTACATCGAGCGCCCGACGCTTTTTTCACAATAATACTAGTATTTTACATTTATTATTGTTTTAAGCTTATTTAAAAAAAAAAGCGTCTTAAAAAAATTTATTTTAAACTTTTTAGTTTGATATGCTCTAAAAGCGTGTTTTTTAGTTTTTTTAAACTATATTTATTTTTTGAGCAAGAAAAACATAGTATAGACCGTAAATTCATAAAAAGAAACGTTAGCGAGTTAATTTTTTTGACCAGTCCTCTACAATGGTCTTTCCAATCAAGGTATTGATCTATTTGGATTCCTAGAAAGCGAATGCTATCATTCCCATTATTAAGAACGACATTTTCAAAACTAATCTCTAGGGACTTAACGTTATGTTGCCTGTTATGAAATCTAAGTCTTATTAGCATTATAAAATAAATCAAGGCTATTAAAGTAACTTGACATTTTTTGAGCGATGTTAGCGCTCTCTCTATTTAGTAGATCCGTATTTATAGCCAAGAAATCATCTACATCTTACATAATGATTATCACCTATTAATGAGTCAACATTGTTTACATACAGTATAAACAAAATGGGTTCCAAAATGGAACCCTGAGGAACTCCCATATTAATATCTAGTGTATCAGAATTAATAGTATTGATTTTGTTGTCGTTTTGTACTTTTAACGAAATATATTGCTTCCTAGCACGTAAAAGGTTGAGATCCAATTTAAAACAGTGCCCCTGAATCCATATTTCCCCAATATATTTAATAGCAACTCATGGTTTACACAATCGAATGCTTTACTGAGATCACAAAAGATAGCAGCTGGGCATTCATATTCCTCCAAATGGTGAATAATAAAATGAGAAAAATTTTAAAACCTTAACCAATTTACCTAACCTGTGCGGCCTAAAGCAAGGTGAAGGATGCTTTGCAAAAAAATACTTAAAATGAGAAAATAAAAAAAAAACATCTAATTTACCTAGCCTGTGCGGCCTAGATCCATTGTGGGTTGTTTCGCAAAAACAAAATATAGATAAAGTGAGAAGAATTAAAAAACAACTAATTTACCTAACATGTGTGGTAATTTAACCTGTCGGTAAATTGTTCTGTCAATATATTGTCCAGTTAGTCAATTGACCTGGCGGCAAATTGTCCAGCCAGTCAATTATCGGGTGTCGGCCAATTGTACAGATACCAGCGACCACAAGGAAGGTGGTATCATCGGCTGGAATTTTGTGAAGCGGTAGGTGGGACCATCAGGAAGTGTCATCAGCAAGGATTTAGTTTAAAATCCCTGCAAACGAGACGTCAGACAACCCAAAGTTGTAATTTTTTATATTTACAATACACATATTTGATTAGATAACTCACTTGACATAATACAATTATTAGCCAAATAAAAAGTATTTAAAATAAATAAACAAAATAATTATGATAAATAAAATGTATTTAAAATAAATAAACAGCAATATAGTACGTATTTTATTTTTAATTTTCATATTTTTTTCCAAAATAAAAAGATTGCATTCAACGTGAATTAAACCGCGTCGCAAAATCAAATTTGACTGCATGTTCAATGCTTAATAAACTGAGCTAATGAGTAATGTCAAGTGAATTATCTAATCAAATATGTGTATTTTAAATTTTCATCATTTTATTTGAATTTTTTTTTTTTTTTAATCAAACCCATAGATTTCATATAATGGTAAAACATTTAGTCAAATATTTTATGTAAATATCTAACGCTACATTATTACAGATTGTTGTACGCAAAATATTTATATTTTTATTTTTTATTTTTAATTTACATTTTCTTTTTGTAATAGACACTTTTATATATTGTATATTTTTGTAATGGGGGTGAACCCGTAAATAAATAAATAAATAAATAAATAAAATAAGTAAATAAATAAATAAATAAATAAATAAATAAATAAATAAATAAATAAATAAATAAATAAATAAATAAATAAATAAATAAATAAATAAATAAATAAATAAATAAATAAATAAATAAATAATAAATAAAATCATTTAATTAGCCTGAAGATGACCTTATAGGTCGAAAGCGTCAATATTAAGTGGTAATTTTTCTCAGTACACCAATGGTGCAAAATATCTAGATCATTCGGCAATATCAAGCAATCGGCTAGTGAATTGATGGTTCTAAAAATCTTTAGGTAATCTGCAAATAATAAGTAGTCACTTAAAAAGTTTTCTCCGATGTCGTTTACAAATAGAGAAAACAATACTGGTGCTAGATTGCTGCCCTGTGGAACATCACTGGTTGCCATAACGGCTAAGATTTGTGGCCTCTAAATTCAACATAGAGCGTGCTATTTCTGAGATAAGACTGAAATATAGCGATAAGGTCATGATCGAAATCGTAACTTTCCATTTTTTTTAGAAGAGTGCTATGATCCATTTTGTCAAAGGCCTTCTAGAAGTCTCTCTAGATGGTATAAGTTTGTTTTTGCGAGTCAATAGCATGACTGACTTTTTGTGTAAAGCACATTAGATTTGTAACGGTTGATCTTTGATAAATAAAACCATGTTGATTCTCTGAAATTAAATTTTTTACTCTTGGCGAAATTCTATTTAAAAAGCCTTTGTAAAGTTGGATAATAGGGCGGTAGTTAATAATGTCATTGATCTTACCAGTTTTAAATACAGGAATGATTTTTGACAACTTCCAGACCTCAGGGAAGTCGTTTGTATATTAGCGCAGTCTTTTACAAAGAATTATCATAACCACAAGTAAATTTTACCTTGAGTTTATGCAACACAGTACTGATTTCGTCCTCTTCAAACTTCTTGATGGAAATATTAGGGTTTGATAAGGATTGACGAATGATACCTAGAGGTTCATTTGAATTTGGTACAAAAACACTACTAAAAAAGTCAGCATACGCGTTAACTATACTATCAGGAGTTGCGTATTGACTCCATTTAAGAGCATGAGCCCTGGAATTTGTGAAGTACCTCTTTTTTTGTGAATATATTCCTAGAAATTCGATGGATTTTTTCGAATCGAATTTTTAGTCTTAGAGACATAAATTCTTGTAAGCGATATTAATTTTCTGTTTTATTCTTGCCCTCAGCTCTCTGAACTGACGCCTATGAAGTTGACTATTATTATTTTTTATTTGTTTTATAATACTGTTTTTTTTTGTTTAATATCATTTATTATTTAACTTGTATATTATAGAACTTGTCAACAGCTTCATTTACTTCTTTTACAGAGTCTAAGAATGACCAATCTGTATTAACTATGTGCTCGAAAAGAAGAGGAAAATTTGCTTCGTGGGAATTTTAATTAAATGTATCAGTATTATTCTAAATTGAATGTTTGTCAGTTTTTACGTTAATGATGATGCTTAATGCCGGATGATAGAAGTCATCTACAACAAATGGAATATCACCATGAATTACCTCGAATTGGGAGTTAGCTAAAACTAGGTCCAATAATTGATTATTGGTGTTTAGAACCTTATTGAATTGAGTGAGGTCATGAAAATGGATCATATGTTGTAGTCTAAGTAGATTTGCATTATTAAATTATTAATAGAATCTCGTATGTTCCAGTCACCTAAAATAATGATGTTATTATGAAGACACTCAATTGATTCTAGCCTTACAGAAGTTACTAATTTCCTCTAGACAACATTTTGGCGGAATATACACTAGAATAACATTAAATAAGACATATTCAAACTAAATTTTAACTACTATTACATCAATACAATTGAAGATGGATTTCTGAGGCTATGCAATCATTTCTTACTCCTAGAAAGACACCTTCTCCTGTTCTTTTTTCTGTTGCATCTAAATTTTTGTCTCTTCCAAATACCACATAGTTATCGGGAAATAACTCTGTACTATTAATATTATTCTGTGTCCAGGTTTCCGTATTGGCAATCAGTTGATATTCTAAGGAAGCTACAGGATTTAAAAAAGTTGTTTTTGTTGTTGAGGCCGCAGGTGTTTTGATAATAACATCTGAGTGAGACGTTTTTTCCCCCTTGGACGAGTTTGTTAGTTTTTTTTTTCATATTTACAATTTTAGGTTCGCCATAGATATATTTTATTGTTATGTCTGAGTTCTGCTTTGACCAGTTTATATCGGAGTTTTATCGGAGGCGATGATGATATTTGTAAATTGATTATTATTTGTAAGTTTCTTTCCATTGTATATTTTTTTTGATGCATCAAGTAAAGATGAAAAAATAAGTTTTAATGGCCTGGATTTGTTAACAGCTATATTAGCTAGACCAACTCTAAATATTTTGGTATTGTCTAGTAAGATATTTGGATTAATAATCGATATTATTTCGGCTAACTTTGACTTCTCAGTATTAGAATCGTTAAATTCAGCCAGAACAAAGATCATAACATTCTTCTTTCGGTTTTATCTATCGGCCATTTCTGCAATTATCTGATTAAAATATGAAATGTTTTCGGAATTGTCTCTTTGACTGCTTACATTAGTTGCATTTAGCTGTTCTAGGTCCCTTTTCATTTCATCTACTTCTGGTGTAGCTTCATTAGCTTGTGATGAAGTTTTGTCCAGTTTTGTCTTCAATTCCTCAACAGTCTCTCTGAGTGTTGTTATTTCTTTTTCTAATACCATTATTTTCTTTTTCCACGATGCTTAAATGCTTTGCAACAGTCATCGCAGAAGAAAATGACGACCCTTTGTTTCTGCAGAAGCATAGCCCTGTGCTCAATTGGAGTCACAATACTGCAGGTTTTGGTTATATGAAAAGGAATCTTACAGCAATCGCAAAAATGTAGTCTTCTGAATCATCAATGCCTTTACTACAAGTTACACGAGTAATTAGCGGTATTGCGGAATGAATTAAGTTATTTATTATAAATTTTCTGTTAAAATATTTAGTACGCCACTGGACAACTAAAATCTATTTATTAGTTCCTTTATCTTATCTTCATCTATTTAAAACAAAAAAGCAGTTCTTCACTTTAATGATTAAAGTTTGTTTCAGTAACAACTTGTTATTATTATTATTTCACATTAGAGATTATAAGGTAATCTTCACTTTGATATAAAATTTATTATTATCCGTTAATTTTTACTGCCGAAATTTGCTATAAAATACAGAGCACATGTAAATCACGACATTCACGTACGTAGATATATAAAATAGGGGCACAGGAAAGAGATAGGAATACAAAAAAATCGACAGAAAGATGAGGAAAATAGGGAAAGAAGATTTAGTATTAAATTTTTGTACATTAATTTTTAGACAGCAAACCACCCATATAGTTTTATTAGTTGTTTTTGATTGGACATTTACAGTCAATTTAAATTTTCCATATCAGTAATATATTGTTCCAATTTTTCTATATGCCGTATGTTTTTCTGCGAATTTCAGCTACACTGTTATCGTATCTCACAATGCTGCCTTCTCAATCTGTGATTTAGAATACAATTTAAATCAATGATTTCATGTATTTCCGATTAGAACAGAGTTGCCATGGTACTGGAGACAAGTGCATTAAAAAAAACTGAATGAAACATGAGGTTCTCTATTGGTTTCCTTGAAATATAGTTAAGAAATGGAGACATTAATATGGTTACTATTTGGATGTGATACGTTAAATTCAACACAAAACTAAGTACTACTTTTACATAACGAAAATATTGTATACTTAATAGATTATATGTAAATCTAAATTTAAACAGACTTACCAAAAGGACTAAACAATTGCTGTACGTTACTTAATTTCCACTCTTTTGGAAAGGTAAGATGAAACACGTGATCCCTAGATGGCTGCACTAAAATATTTCCATTTTATTAAAAAAAAGTAAGACATTTCAATAAAACTAAGTACTTACAATCTTCGCCAGATAAGTGTATATACTGACTATCCGTTAAAGTCATTAAAAATAACCTAAAAATTAAATGCATGAAAAAATAAACAGTTTGCGATGGCGTATTAATAGAATATTTATTCCAATTATGCAACAATTACTTTCGAGGATGTACTTGAGCCAAAATACAGCAAGCACATCTTTTCAAAATAACAATGATTATGATTGTCTTAATAATTAAGTGTCTACTAACCTGTTCATGTAAGGTTCTAAGAGGTCCATATTTTGAAAAGTTTTACAATCTGATCTATTATCAAGTAATCCTATAAAATAAAACAATATTACACTATGACTAAAAATAAATGTTTATTTTTTTACCTAGATGTTTCCACATTCCCAAAAAGCACAAACCAGTAATAAAAGCATCATAACCAGCCTCATGTTCTTTGCTGCAGTCAGTAGTATAACCCTTACTTGGCTCTTCAATTACTAAAAGTGTATACACATGTTATATTAACCATACCAAGCAAAGCCAGATAAACCCTATTTACCTATTTCTGGAAGTCCAAATGGTTTCTTCGACACTATTTCTAACAACTGTCCTAAAACAGTTGAAGAAATAAGTTCTTTAAAAGGTTCGTTGCTAGACATATATTTGGTATCTAATACCCTAAAAAAATATTCTAATTTAAATACACTGTAAAGGGAAACATTATAGTGTCAATATTATTCATATTTTAAAGAAGAATAAGAGACAATATCCCAGTGTTGTTATATCTCAGGGATGCGTCGGAATTTTGTTCAAAAATATGTGTTCGAAACTTTTTTTTATGGAATTTTCTTTGAAAACATTTTGTTGGAAAGTTATTTACTTCAGACACATATTCGAAAATATCTTTAATCAAAACACGTAAAAGGAAACGTGTTCAAAAGAATCCTTTTTCGAAAATGATTTACTCCTAAATAATTCTGTGGTCAGCGCTTAAAAGGAAATAAGTCAAATTTCTAGGAAAATAGAATTTTTTGATCTAATATTAAAAAAATAGCTTCTTTTGGTATTTTAAAAATTTCATCAAAATAAAACTAATTGAAAAAAGAGTAACGTTATTTAAAATTATACTAAGATGTATCCAATCTTACTTTTTTAGACGACTCATAAAAAATTACACTTTACGGATTTATTAACATCCATAAAGTGTCACTTTTTTGGTCGCATTTACTTTACGACCGAAACACAGGTTTATTATACTTATCGTTAATAATTCTATACAAATTTTATTAGTAAACGATGGATTTTTATTTATATATCAAGAAAAATTTGAAACAATTCTCGCATTTAAACTTCTTTTTAAAAGCAATAATATAAAAAAAAATATTGACTACTTGAAGAGTTGGTCGCCTAAATAATGTTGTGTGCACCTCGGCCGTACGATCTTTTTTGGCCTAACCAGAATTTGCTTGGCCTCGCCTACGCCTCGGCCGCAAATTTCTGATTCGGCCAAAATAGATCAACTTTACGGCCTTGGTACACAAATAACTATTTAAAGAAAACTGGCTATGTTTTTCCAAATATTTAAATATAAAAAAACAGGTCAAATGAAAAATTCTATATTTCTTAAGTAATGCTCAATTTGCTCATTATTAAATTATCAAATATTTCTACCAACGATTGAATGCGAGAATTTTTTTTTTTTGCTTTGGCAGAGACCAATTAGCCAGACTTTTTTTGCTTTTAAAATGTATTTATTTACGTGTTTACTTGTACCGATTTTGTTCAATGGGATACAATTGTTGGTTTAGGTGGTTAGTAAAACTGTGCGTAATTGTTGTATTTTATTTATTTTTTGGGTGAGATTTTGTTTTGTTTTATTCTCATTTTTTTTTATTTTCATGTTTTTTTATTTACATTTTTTTTTATTTTCATAAATATTTTTTTTATTTTTTTCATCTACACACTTACATATTTATTTATTTGTCAAAATTGCTCACACATATTATGTTAGTTTACAATTTCATTTTACAGTGTATTACATGTTTGTATAGGCACGAATAATAAATATCCAAATTGTTCGAGAATATTATCTCGTTAAGATTTATCGGCAACTTTCAATTATTTCCGATTAAATTTCCATATAATTTATCAATGCTGCCTCTGTAGATGTTACACTCCATAATCATATGTTTGAGATCTCCTGCGAGAAATTGTACCCTTGTATTTTCTATTGACTTTGGGAGTATCGCAGATAATATGCATGAACTCAGATGGTCATGACTAGGGCTGGGCGATTATCAAATAAATAATCGATTATTTTCGATTAATCTAAATAATCGATTAATCAAGATAATCGATTTAAGAAATAATAGTTTAATCGATTAATAGAAAATAACAGATTAATAAATTAATCGAAAATAACCAATTAATCGAAAATAATCGATTATTTCTCACCCCTAAGTATAACAAATCATTGTATAGGTTATTTAATGAAGACATCTGCAATAAAACTATTCATTACTTTACTTTTGATTTTAGCGCCCTCTAGCTTGATAAAAAACTGTTACGTATTGTAAAGTGTGACACTTCATTTGAAAGCTAATTTTATTACTAATTCGATACAGCACAACATTAATCTAAAAATCTTTATATTGCACTTGCAACAAAATAAAGTTAACAATAATGCCAAACAATGACTAATGTTCAGACTTTTGCAAGTCAGTGCAATATGAAATTATTTGGATTAATGTTATGTGGTGCATTGAATTAGTAATAAAACTAACTTTCAAATGAAGTGCTTACAAAACATAACCGTTTTTTATCAAGCTAGAGAGCGCTAAAATCAAAGGTAACGCAATGAATAGTCTTATTGCCGAATTCTCCATCAAATTACCTCAATGATGTGTCACCCTAGGTACTTTTCATTTTTAATTTTCTTAAAATCAAATGAATAATGAAAAATAATAGAGTGGACGAATGGCCCACTCTTTACAATCAATATAATACAGTGTGGGCCAAAAAGATCGAAATAAAGAACATTGATTTCTCAGAAAATTTTCTGTAAAAAAATAGAGACTGTCCAGTTTTAGATTAGATACACAGGAACCCAAAAAAATACAAGTGTTAAAATATTTTTATTGAAATATTATTATTTATATTGATAATCAATTAAAAATCTATTTAAAAAATAAATCAACCTTTTGAATAAACGATTGTTTTAGATATCGATTATTCGAATGATAAAATTAAAATTTCGATTATCCGATTAATCGAATATAATCAATTACTTAATTAGTCAAAAATAATTGATTGATCCATTATCGATTTTTTAATAAACAAATAATCGCCTAATCGATTATTTTGCCGGGTCTAATTTCGTTTAGCCGAAATCAGTTACGTAAAATTTGTTGCCATGGCAACCGTTGCCATGGTAACCAGTAAACAAAAACCCAAATCTTGTGGTGAGGAAATGCATAGTTGCCAAGTTATAGATTATTTAATGTTCACTTTAGTTTAGACGAAATCACTTATGGTAAAACTAGTGCCATGGGAACGCTTGACATAGTAACGACTATACAAAAAGCCAAATCCCATGGTGAGGAAATGCGTGGTTGCCAAGTTACAGATGATTTAATTTAGCTGTAATCAGTTACAGAGAAACTGTTGCCATAGAGACACTTGACATGGTGACGACTAAACAAAAACCCAAATCCTGTGGTAAGAAAATGCATAGTTGGCAAGTTACAGGTCATTTAATGTTCACTTTAGTTTAGCTAAAATCGGTTATGGAGATGTGATGTCGAGTAAACAAAAACATAAATCCAATGGTGAGGAAATATGTAGTTGCTTCTTATATTTAGATTAACTCTTAACACAATATCCTAATCTAAACTAAAGTGAAAATGAAACCATCTATAACTAGGCAACTAGGCATTTTCTCACTACGGGATTTGTTTAGTCGTTAGCAAGACAAGCGTTTCCATGGCAACAGTTTCTCTATAAGATCCCGCTACGCTCCTCACACCCACAACCTAACTACTACAGAAAAAATCGAGCGAAGCGAGAGCGCCCGGCCAACGTTTCGAAATTCGGGCGCGTTCTTTTTCCACCTACATCATAAGATCACGCTATGCTCATTCCACCCACCTACTAACCACTACTTGGCAACTACGCATTTCCTCACCACGATATTTGGGTTTTTGTTTAGTCGTTAGCATAATAAGCGTTTCCATGGCAACAGTTTCTTCATAACTGATTTCGACTAAACTAAAGTGATCATTAAATAATCTATAACTTGTCAAGTTGGCAACTACGCATTTCCCCACTACGAGATTTGGGTTTTTGTTCAGTCGGTAACATGACAAGCGTGCCCATGGCAACATTTTTTGCATAACTGAATTCAGCTAAATTAAATTAAACAAAAAACGTAATCATCTACAACTTGGCAACTACGCATTTCCTCACCATGAGATTAGGGTTTTTGTTTACTCATAGCCATTACAATTGTTATTATGACAACAGTTTTTGCATAACAGATTTCGGCTAAACGAAAGTTGAGCCATTTTGCCCACCTCTAGACATGACTTATCAGATGCAAACTTCATCTGTGACAAAGTTAATTAAGAAAAATTTTAATGGCTCCAGGCAGCATATGTTAGATGAATTTGTTTTTAATTTTTCTGATTTGATGTATATTTTTTGCAAAGCTGCGATTACTCCAGGTCGTGCAGGTTAGGTAAATTAGTTTATATTTCACATTTACATTCAACCATTTGAGATCATGTGATCGATAAAAGTCCACGACCTATTTTTTCAAGCAATTAAATCTTCAAATAAAATGTTTTCGAATAAAATTACTTTTAAACAAAATTCTTTGACAGCCTAATATGATAAGCTCAAGAAGAGTAACAGAAATCACATAAATATACAGCTTGAAACAAATTTAAGAACGATGAAAAGTAGGCTAGTAGAAAAATACAAATTTAGATTAAATACTGGACAATATAAAAAAAGCTGCAATCAAGAACTGCAGGACAAGGTAGGAGAGCCCGCGACCAAAATTTTGAGTTATTGTGGCATGTGAAAAATGATTCAATTCAGGTCAAAAAACTCAATAAACGAAAGTTCCAGGGTGTTGTGGCCATCAGTAAATTTTATCTATGTAATATAGTTACCACATCCTGTCTAATCTTGATGGAATCTCATAAAAAAATACACGAATTCATCATGTACTGATAACAGAGTTATCAGTGGTCAAAAAAATAGCCTGGTCGAATTAGAACGGAACGTCCTTACATTCCTTAGAGTCCAAAACATCGGAAAATAATTGCATACCATATAGATTTTGTCTCGTGTCACAGCTGTGTTTTGTTTTTTAATACCTATTTATGTTTATAGGTGCGTAGTTACGAAGATTGCATTAAATCCTCCGAACATTTAATTCCCAAAATACCTATTACATCCCACGGACATTCATACGATTTGAATATGATTACTTTTTTTTGGAGCTATTTTGATTGGTTCTTTCGTTGACTGATTAGTAGTAAAGCAATACACGCATTGTAATGAAGGTTGAAATGTTCGTGGAATCAAGTCGTCAGGGGATGAAAGGTACATGGAATTAAGAGTCCGAGAACTATATCAATCCAGTAGAAAAGTTCGATATCTTCTTTGCTGTAAGAGATTAAAAATGTATTAACAAAAAATCATATGGTACTATGAGGGCCACATTTTAAATTTACATAGAGGTATACAGGATATTATATAACTCAGGCATGAACCAAACATGTTTTTTTAGGCCAGAACACCAGTATACTTACGATGTTCATGCAAAAAGTATATGTTTGGTTCGTACCCAAGTTATGCAACACCCTGTACACTATGTAATTTTAAAATGACACTCTCAAACCATACCCTGTTGGTTTATTTTTTTTTACATTACATGACAATGGACCACAACGAAAAACTACTAGACTAATTCGTTCATTCATAATTAACCCTTTATTTATTTCAAGCATTCAGATATGGTTTATATAAGATAGATTTTGCATCTGCTGCAGCATCAGAACGAGCGAGACGGCTGCTAAATTGAGTGGGGATGATTTTTACAAGTTTGTTTATAATAATAATAATGTCTTTATTATTTCCATAAAAATACAAAACAAAATATAGAAATAATAGGCGATGTTCATCCTTTGTAAATGTGGTGCAAGCACGCGTTTTACGAATGAATCAGTACTTACGCTTATAACGATTGCTTTATACTGGTGTCACACTTTAAAATTGCGTACTTTCCTGGAAATCACCCTTAACCAACTTCAACTGTGGTAGTTGCAACGAGAAAAATACATAATTATCCTTTTTCGTGATTTAGAGCCTTATGTTAAGTCGATTTCGAATTATAACCATGGTATAAGAATATAGGTGAAGCGGTGCGCAGGTTTTATGACGTCAACATCGATATTGTCACGGCCGCCTATAAACTGCCATACCATGGCTTTGTTTACATTTTGTAATGATTGTCAAGATATTACTCTTTTATTTCCTAATTCTATAATCATTATAAAAATGAAAATACATATTTAAATGAAAATAACTGATAAATCACACATAAGTTATGCTCATTACAAGAAAACTCACTATAGGCAGATAATTGGACCCTGGTGCAAAATAAGAAATGCCAGATAAAAATATATTTTGTGCTTTTATATACAAAAACTAGGTAATTTATTTCCAATTTAGCATAATATATTTAAATTACATCAGTTGGTATACATTTCTCTTGAGGATTAACAAGATAGTGTTCATCTGAAACTGAATTCTTCCACCACAAAACATGAAGAGCATGTTACGTCTAGGATAGTTCTTGTAGCCAAACACTGCACAACCTGGCGTTTTGCTAGTAACTTACACTCCCTAAAATAGTAGATTTAAATGTACCAATAATAAATATATTAATAAAATAATCAGAAACTAGTTTTTTATCTTTAAAATAAAGCAAAAATATGACATAACCTAACTTTATATCAATTACAATATCCATTTAATTAAGAATTATTTGAATAATACGTACCAATAATTACTGAAAAGACCTCTTGGTATATAGAAATAATATTAATTTTTAAGATAAATATATCTATAATGTCCTAAGCACTATCAGGAAGATATTAAAATAACTTAAAAAGTCACTTTTTACCATCCAAGATATAAGCATAATAAAAATTTGCTTCGAAAGTGACGCCATGCTCAAAACTGATAAAATTTCGTACTACTAACCGCTTCACCTGTTTTTTTCCACCATGATTATAACCATAAACAATCCTTGTAACAAGACTCTCTCATATTAATTTGACAACTACGTGAATAACAACCGTGAATGCTTGCAATTGGATTTGTGTAAACAAAATTAGTCTAGTAGTTGTTCATCATTGACAAGGAAGATATCGAACTTTTACACAGGATTGTATATTATGGGTTTCACATACATTTGTTTGGAATGTAAATTACTGTAATAAAAAAATATTAATTCAGAAGGTTAAAGATCCGTAGATATATACCAGATGTCCTCATGCAAACTTTGGTTGGATTTATTTCTGTAAAATTTAAGTTGAAATCTTAAATTTTAGGAATATAAGACATCACAGGGAGACTTAGTTCCACATACTTTTAATCCAACTACCCTTTCCACTACTTCTCTCCAAGCTATTTTTAAGTCAAAATTTTCAATGACACCAAGTATATTATGAAGGATTCATAAACTCACTTTTTTTAAGTTCATCCAAATTTTAAAAAATAGTACATATATTAACATTAAAATGTTTATCATGTTATTTTCAAATAAGTGATAGATTATCATTTTTGTTCAATGGGATTTTCCATTTATTAGAAAAATTAAATAAAATTAATTTACAATAAATTCTTACAACTACAGAAACATGTTATTTATAGTTCTGGTTTTTGATAAAGATATTTTTATTCCAGATGGGTGTGTAAACATTTTACCAATATACGTACCTGGAAAACAATGAATGACTCATTTGTTTAAATTCTTCATATGATTCAGGTAAAGGCATTAAAAACTTATCAACTGTATGAAAAAAATCCAAGCATAAATTGTGACCTATGACCAGTTTACCCTAGAACAAATTTTAAATTTATCATTATTAATCAGTTTCTGTAATACTTATATCTATTTTATTTTCTGAATAGGATTTTATTTGAGAAGCAAAACATTGTAGTTTATAATTACATCATATAATTAACTTACCGACTCTATTATAATTTTTAAAACCTTAGTAAATCCAATGAAATCATCCAATTCCTGTTTCTGTTCCTCATATTTTTTCTTTGCAAGTTGTTTTTCTTCTTCGGGAGATTTTAGTTTTGTTACAAATAATACCCTATCTTTTTCAATTTGTCTAGTTTCTACAGAAATTTTACCAAAATATTCGGATTCTTTTATTTGATACACTAATCTTCTAAAAAATGCATTACACTTAGGCAGTTGCATTTCTGTTTCTTCGGTTTTTAGAAAAACTTCTATTTGTTGTCTGTAAAAAAATATGTCTTAGTTTTGGTGGAATTCTAACTGGACACAATTAACAAATATTAATATTCTATAGACCATACTAGAAAAAATACAAAATAATTACTTGACATCTTCCATAAATTGCTGAGCGTTTTCTGGAATTGGTATAATATCTGGCTCAACTTCATTTGCATTACTTTCAATAATTTCTAATGCTTTTTGGTAAGCTTGATCAACATTATCCTTATATTTATCAGTCTCTATTTGATTTAAGTAAGGTAAACCTTCTTTGAACAGTTTGTTAAAATCAAAAGAATGGCTAATAAGGAAATCAATGCTTGAAGATTGACAAAGGAATCTATTGTCTGGTATATTTCTGTTAATAGGTCTTCTAAATATATAAAAATTATAACTACTTTGTATAAAGTTATTTTCTTCTTGATTATATCTGAAATTTATTTAATACCAACATTACCAAATCTAGGGTTTACAAACAGTGATCAGTTACACAGATATGTACATCTAGCTATAACTATTTATTTCCAAGTATTACAAAGATGAAATCAAGGTGTAAAAAGTATGTGCCTGCTGGCTGGCTCAAGAAATGACTGCATAGCTTGAATTCCAGTAAGCAAAGCAGTAGGAGGTTTCCTAAAACTTGTGTTGTTGTTGATTTATCACCTAATTCAGTATCTGAATTCCAATGGGGGTTGAGTTTGAAAAGAAAGCATACAATACTAGAAATAACATAAGACACAATGTTTTTGTTCAGCAGTAATGTATTATGGGTACTCAAGAAACATATATAGGTACTTTAATTAATCTGTGCCAGTTGGGTAGGGTAAAGGTGCACACCACTGTATTCAGGGTTGGAAAAACCTAAGAATTAAAAAAGTATTATAGGTATTAGATATACCAAAATTAAAGGTTGATGTCATTGACATTACTGTTCAATTTTCATTTATAAATAAAAACTAATATATTATTAACATAACACATAAGTGCCAATTTTGAAATGGTGCCCACTGAATTAATATTATAGTTGAAATCGTAATAAAAGTTTTTTGTATTTTTTATATTTTTGTGTTTTAATGTATAGATTGTTATATTCAATGGCCCCTAGAATAATTGGATATGTTCCTGACCTAAAATATGAAGATTTAACATGAAATAGCGTTCCTTAGTTCTGCACTCTTTCTCCCGAGAGTTGATAAATAAAATTGTGATTTCTTAATATTTATCTTAAAAAATCTAAAATTACAGTACCTATTTCACTTTTAGGTTTTTTTAAAAAACCTGTTCCTGTCAACCCTGACTTTATTAGGGTATTTATCAGAAAAACTAATTTCTAAATTCAGGGACTCAATCAAAAACAATTTGTAATTCTAGTAAATTTCTGCTAAACAAAACTTCCCCAAAAATTCTTTTTTAGGCATAAAATGTACCTTTAATGGATTTTAAGGAGCTTATGGAACTATTTATTTATTTTACAATTCAGGTTTAGTAAAATTTGATTAAGGGTTGGTAGTTTTTTTAAGTGAAAAAATCATTTAGGTAGTTGAAAATTTTTTTCTTTGAGAATGTGGATTACGCCTATGTAGATATTTTTTAATACAGTAAAAAAGTTTGTTAAGATGTTAGTTTAATAAAAAAAAATTGCTTGCCTAAATGTGCTTAAACCATACTGCATAACTAAAAAGTCCTTACAATTAGTTCTCATCTTCTTATAATATTCTTTTGGAGTATCAAAAGCATTGATATTGCGAACGATATTTAAACCTGAAAATTCACAATCAATGCTTACAAATAAACTATTTTCTATAGCTTTTTGTATTTCGGGTAAATTCTCTTTGAAATCTAAAACAATTTAACTGTAAAATAAAACTTTAAATTAATATAGGTAACTTACTTGAACAAGTTATTTCCATGTTGAATGATTATGCTTTGCCTATTTTAGATTATTGTTATTAAATGCTTGATAAAAATAAGGTAATAATGAATTTTATCTATTACCAAAAAATAATAGCATTTTTGTATTCAAGCGAGGCAAAATAGAAAACATAGCCTATTCTTCAAATGGTCAAAATACAAATACAAAACATTTCTTCTTTCTTCTTGTCTTTTATATTCTGACATATGTCAACGTCATTCCAAATAGTTAAAAAAGTAATGGTTCCGTCAAAACCGTGGCCTTGTATTTTCATTTAAGCAGCTACTTGATATTTACGGTGTAAACTCTACTTAAAAAGAATGTTTTATCTACTAAGGGTGAGATTCACATACTTAAATAGGTATACGGCGTAAAACCCTCTGCGCATCTTTACTGAGTGTTTAATAAAAGAAGATAGAAATGACCGCCATTTTTATATAAACAAACTGAAACTTATGCAACCAATTTATCTTTCCATCTGTCAAAAGTGTCAAATTTTAATGTGTTTGTGAATTTGGTTAAATTTTTTTGTGTTATTTTAGAATATTTTGATTGTGGATATTATTTTCTAAGTGTATAAACGTTTTATTTATTTTAACATTTGTGAATAGACTTTAATCCCAGTATAAGTTCTCTATACTGGGCTTTATTCAAGATGTCTTGTAAGATCTTGCAAGAACATAAGAAGACTGTTGCCAATAGATTCAAATGTTACATTCCACAAGTAATAAGATTTAGAAAAAATAAAGGATATGAAAGCAGTGTCTTTATATTATTTTAGGGTTCCAAAACAAGCAGATCGTTCCTTATTGTGGTTATCTGCCATATAGAGATTGGACAAAATTTCTTTTAAGTTGTTAGTACAATTCACTGCAGAATCAATAAGGACGACCCATTCACTAAAAATTTGTAGCTTTTAGAAATTATACAAGAAGAAAGTAAATTGTTTAAAATAAAACAAATATGCAACCATCAATTTAATTTTAAAGTATCCTGGAAATTTTAATATTTTTAACTTCCTCTACTGTAATTTTGTCATTTAAAATTAGTATTTAGGTATTTAATCTATTATTTGTCGGCCTATTATTTATCAGCCTAACATGTATTTTTAAACATTAAAATATTTTTTTTTGTTGTAGAATAAAAATTTAATTCAAATATAATATTGTATTATTTCTTTTAAAAAATCTGTACAAAATTATGTATTTAAAAGTGGAAAGACCTAGACATCTGCAACCAAGTTTTCATATTGCTGTATTTCTGGTCACCTATGTACTAGTAATCTTGTATAAAAATGGCCGCCCCTATGTTAAACAGGTCGGACGTCTCTCTTGCTCCGTATACCTATTATAAGTATGTGGTGAGATTACAGAACGTCTGCAACTTTGCAGATCTGCAAATATGGCGGCAACTTTGAAAAACTGCAAATATGACTGACTTACACATGCAAGTATCAAGTTTGTTCGTATTCCAAATTTGGGTTTAGTGTTGTTGAGGGTAATAAACCACAATAAATATTGCGAATTTGCAGATATTTTTTGGAATACTTGCATTTGTAAGTCCGCCATATTTGCAGATCTGCAAAGTTGCATACATTCTGTAATCTCACCCTAAACTACAGTGATTTTGTTAAAGAGTCGCCTCTTCATTTGTTTTCTTCCTTATTCTTTCTTATTAGTCCCTCGTCTGACTAAAAAAAGTGGCACCTCGTATTTCTTGTCTGATCTCTCTGTAGTTGTTTACAGGGGAAGGGGGTGGACAACATGTACTATGTCCCGGAGTTGAGAGTGGCCGTGTGACTTGTGAAATTCAAAATAAAATTGCTTCGTTGGATTTTTCGTTGACAATGAAAAATATGCTTCGACGTCAGTAACAATAAAAAAATTCCTATGACAGTATTTTCTGTCGTCTGATTTTGCTACTTCCGATCTAGGGAGTTAGGGCCGATACCACCGTTGTGTTAAACGGAAATTAAAATGACATTGTTAATGTAAAAATGTAATTTTAAACTTCGTTTAACACAACGGTGGAATCGGTCCTAAGACACACATTTTTCAATGAAATTCGGGATATACAGGGTGTTTCCGAACTTGGCGTCCAAATTTGTAGGGATGGTAGTTCGCATAATTTGAGACCGATTCGCAGATTTCATTTTTCCAAAATATTTAAAATAAAAATAATTCAAAATTAATTAAAATTATAAACAGGTACGGTCCAGCACAGCGATAGGATCGTCTCGACTCGCGCGCGCTACGCTTAGAATCGACAAAATTGCAAATCGCATCTGTTTTTGAGGACTATTGCGCTACGCGCTCAGGGTAGGACCTGTTCTTTGATTTTTTATAATGGCTCTATTTTGTTTATTACAATTTTTTAGAAAAATGAAATCTGCCAATCGCTCTCAAATTATGCGAACTACCACCCCTACAAATTTGGACGCCAAGTTCGGAAACACCCTGTATATACTTAGCTTAATCGCGTTTTTTCGGAATCTAAGCTATGCAAAAAAATTGTAACCAGGCAAAAAGTGATCGTTTTTTAAAATCGAAACCAAAAGTCGAAGTGGTTTGTTTTCATGTTTGAATGTTTGTATGACTCTCAATCTCAAATAAGAGTATATTACCCTTGCAAGCATTTTTTATTTAGTAGTTCTACCCCATTTTTCTTTGAATGTCATAGATCACATAACGGCCAATAGCACATAGACGTCCTTCAGGAACATGAAGGACGTCTGAGGTCCGTCTTTTCTGGTACCGGGACGTCCAATGGACCTTCTAATGTCCTGTGTCCGTCCATCTCCGCCACGTCCCGAAGGGACACCCCAAAATGACGTCATAGGTCCTAGGGACGTAAATCAGACGTTCGAGGGACGATATTTGACCATATTCCATAAAGGGCAATAATAACAAAAATGTTAACAATAAAAGGGCTTTATTAGCAACTTTTACCCTGAAAAGGCTAGTTCCATCAACTTTCCGCCATTAAAGTCCTTTCTTTCCGGCAGCGCTGCCGCCAACACAAAGCACTAGTTCTCAATTCAACACAAAATAATCACTTCACCTCCAACATCAAAAAAATAACACTATACATAACCTTCTTTTCTTCTTGGTTAATCCACTGAACTATAGTTTAATATCAAGGTCGGTGGAGGACCGATTCCAGATTCCACCGTTGTGTTAAACGAAGTTTAAAATGACATTTTTACATTAACAATGTCATTTTAATATCCGTTTAACACAACGGTGGAATCGACCCTTACATAAGTTAATTATGTAATGCCGGAAAATTATAGCTGTTGTACATTTGAAATTAAATGATAGGTTAGGGTTTCTGTCCTCTTGCAAAACTAAAACATTGAATTTCAAGTTATCGACGTAGACGGCCCATGGATGTCCATTAACGTCTTGGACTCGGACCGAAAACTGAACGTTTTGTCGAAAGAAGACCAAAATCGAAAGTCCGGTGGGATAGCATCATGAATATCCACCAGGGAGACAACGTGCGTAGAAAACACGGGTGATTGCATTCAAATCTTGGCATATACAGATAACATAGGTAATCCTCGACAGCGACACACAAACTAAACAATAATTCACACGGACTGGATATTTATACGATTCAGTCCGACGAAACACTGAGCGATGGGTCAACCGGCGGGGTCCTAATCGAGAACACTTTACACTCTGGATTATGACCCTGCCGGAGGGCTCATAGCCCACTTTTCTAGTGAATTATGACAAAAAACAATAAGACTATATACAGGACCACGAACTACCAATGACAACCTTGTTTTTACTAGCTTTTTCAGGGGACAAAAACGAAACTAAGGCAAGACATACCTACTTTTACATACAATTACTGATACAAACTAACCAAAATCCCTTAATAATACCCACAGGGCAAGGAGTGAGGGCAGCTATTGTATAGCAAAACCTTAAGGCAAGAACATCGCGGTGTATTATACGCGATTAAATCGCCATAGCTCTGGTAGGCGACTAGTAGAGCCGCACAATTGCACCATGTACTGTGTACAAGTGCATTTGTGTGTGTATATTTTAGACTGACGATGTATATATGTTATTAAAAAAAAAATGAATAAAGATTTTTAAATGAAAAAATGAAAGTCCGGGCATCCTGTGCTATCTGGGCGTCCCCACCACCAGGGCATAGTACATGTTATTCACTCTTTCCTCCAACCATAGAGCAAGTAAAAAATACAACTCGCCTCTGTTTGCAATCAGATGAGGGACTAGATATTTATCAATTCCTTCATACGAGGGATGCATGCCCCAACACATTTTTGACCTTCCACTCTTACTGCTTTTGATTTTTTAAGTGGTCTACTCTAAACATTCCCTGGTACCGCATACACTCTCATCTTTACAATCTGTGATTTAGGTACTGTTTTCTAAATCATTCTCAACTCTTGCTTATATCCACCATAGCAATGTTCACTGTCTGCCTATAAACTTTTTTCTCAGTTTTTAACCATAACCCTAATATTTTTTCAAGATTCTTTACCCACAACTTTGTTCCCCTTTAGTTGTGTTCCCTATTTTAGGTTACCAAACTATTGTTCTTGTCTCTAGAATCTTATTAAGAAGCTATTCAAAGTTTTTAATATTTTTAATAACAAATCATTACAATATTTATTTTGATATAAATTAATTTCCCTTTGGTTTATAATAGTACTGAGATTAGTATATAGTCTTAAAAAATAGCTAATTATGTAAAACACAGTGATTTTTTCACTTTTTCTTTATCTTCTTCATCCACTTTGACTTTTTTTCGTTTGTCGAAACCTAAAAAATAAATAATTATTAAAAAGTTCATATATGTAAACAATTTCTCATCTTTTTAGAATCAGGATCTAACACATTGAGGCACACAACTATACCTAATATTTTCTGTTCATTCTCTTTATACTGATTAACAATTTCATCCAGAGTTTTGTCAGCATTTAGTACTAAAACAGGTATGGTATTAAATCTTGTATCATCAGTCATTAACCATCGTTCATGACTTTCATGTAGACCTTTTAAATATTCGAGAGAAAGGCCTTCTTCTTCAGGTCTTTGCCTAGCCTTAACTCTCTCATATACTGTCTCTGGACTGCTTCTCAAATAAACTGAAAATAAAAAGCATATACAGCTTCTCTAGAAATGCACATATTGAATCTGTATATATTAGTAACACAACACAAAAAGTAAGTACATAATTCACTGACCAATTAAATCTAGCTCAATATCTTCATTGACTCGAATCCACCGGTACCACTGATCCAATACTGCATAATCTGCCCCTTTTATAAATCCATCCTTATAAGCTTGTTCCATAAAACAGAATCTATTATTCTGAATAGATCTTTCAAACATTTGTACTTTGGTGGAAGAAGATGTAGGTTTAGAAGTTTGAATAATTAGACGAGTGAACTGTACATAATTCTGAAATACTCTCAGCCATTCATGAATGTCTGAATACATAAGATCTAGGAGATTGTGACCATTTAGATTTCGCCACCATTCAAGGGGTTCCTAAAAAATTGGTTTCCATATTAAACAAACCGAAAATGGTGGATGTAGATATCTTATATTTTAGTTTATCCCATCTTCACGGTTATATCATAATGATATTGAAAATTTACAAACATACTACACATAATTATTGCTTCTGTGTGAGAAGAGCTGACTAAATGGTATGGTCTGATAGCTAGAGTTATGTATTGGCATGTGTAACAATAACACTATAAATAGAAAACAATTAGCATACCTAATTAATTCTAAATAAGTACCCCCATAAAGGAAGACCCAACTCAACTTATTTGCTGTATGATTGATTCAATTTAAAAATAATTCTTTATTTGTCAAACACACCTATTTAACACACAAATCAACCTCAGGAAAACCAACCTTTTAACGGTTAGATAGGAAACAACATAATAGGACAATCAAAAATTTTTGTAGATATTAGGAATCGAACCCAGGTTCTTTAAATGGTAGGTAAGTGTTTTACTGATACAGTACTGGCCTCTCTAAAGTAGAAATGTAAAATGCAATGGAAACAAGATAAAAGTCAAATATTTTCTGTTAAACACAAATTTGAGAATATGCATCCACTAATATCAGATATAGGTACTCTCAGCAAATACAAAAATGAATATTCAAGAATGTCTACAAAAATACATGGAAAAGATCTACTTGAGTATTAAACAATAAAAATAGTTAACTAAATAAATCATGAACCTAGGATAACATTGCATTTAAAAGTTATAAATAATGTAATTACCTAAAAGCAATATTCATTACTATTTAAATTAGTGTTTTAAAATACGTGAGTGTTTAGCAAATGTTCTTAATTTTTTTTTTTAACTGGGTGGTATTTATTATATAGTGATAGGTATATAATTTATTTATGGTTTTTTAAACTACTACTTTTTTGTCTAAAATTGAAAATATTTTATCATAAAATTTAACTACAAATTAACCATTAATAATTTAAATCAATTGAAACAAATACCATAAAGTTTACAAATCCAGTAAAAGAGGATAAAATACTATGTAAGTATGCTAATTTTTTTAGTGTTAAATCTTTAAGAGGTGAGGCTTAATAAAAATGGTTCCACATTGTAAATCAACAAACTTATAACAATATTATTGATCAATGCCGTATTTTTTGAGAGAAATGTGAAGGAGTTTAATAATTTACTTAGTTTCCCAGCATTATAACCTATTAAATTTAAATTGGGACCCACTGAACTATTTATTGTCAGTTTGTTATATCTACATTAGAATAGTGAACAGCACAATATAAGCATGGATGATCTTTCATCAATGACTACCAAATATCCGATCTTTAATTATAACAAATCTTACCAAATATGTTTCAATTCCTGACATATTCTGGAAATATTTGATGAGTGTTGACTTCCCAGCTCCAATGTTACCTTCAATTGACACTCTGAAAGGCCTGTCTTTAGGAGTTTTGACATTAGTTAATTCTCCTAAAGGGGAGATCCCCACAAAATTTGTTTTCTTAGTTGGAGAAGGTTCTATACTAGCTGCTGGTCTCTTTTGGCCACACACTGTAGTCATAATACCTTCCATTTTTATTTTATTAATATTATAACTGAAAATTATAGATAAAAATAAGGATATAGGAAGATATAATAGTATTGCTACATTGGAATATCCACATTGAACACATCTGCTCCATAAACATTTACATATGTTGAATCACATGTTCAAAGATTCACAACATCTCAGATGCATCTGATGTGAATAAACAAACGCAGCATATCAATGTGAAATCTGAATACAACAGATATCTAACAAGTCAAATGTTTATTCCTAAACACTTTGTGGACATAATGAAAACAATAATATATACAGGACACATTTCAAAATATGGGGAACATTTTTGTGAAATCATAACTGAAATAATAAAGCTAGGAGAACAAATGATGAAACTGAAGTTATGATTTGAGACTTGAGCTGGAAAGACTGACAAAACAAGTTTTAATAGAAGAATAAGAGGTATTAAAAAAATGAGAATGAGAAATAGGTACTCTAGAAAGAATGCAACTCAATGGATGAATAAATATAGGAAGAATTTTTAGTTATGATTTTTCTAATCAAAATTCACATTGGAAAAGTCCAAAACATATACTTTACATATACTTTATATATACTTTAATAGGTACATATAAATAAGTTCCTATTTAATTTGGAATAATTTTATTAAATATAAAAATAAACCCAGTTAATGTTTTAGGTATTATTTGTAAATAGGTATTGGTAAAAATACCTACTTTTTATTAAAGAAACAGGAAACTTCAAAAAATAAAATAAATAATGGAAGTTGTTAAAAATAATGACTTTATTATATTGTAGTATCTAGTTGGGCACCTCAAACATATTTTACAAATTATAATAAACACCTAGCAATGTTTACTGCCATATAAAATTATTTGTCCTCCAAAATTATTTTTTTATGGACACCCTGTAGACTATTATGGGCTATTAGCTGAAAATTTTGTAATTTGTTATTAGACCATTCAAGGTTCAAGGTAATTGGTTTCTTTTCAACGTTTTTCTGTATTGGTAAATAATAGAATGGAATAATTATACAATAAAAATTAAAAGCAATCAAAACATTAGCATCTGACCACATCTGACCTCCTTTAATCAACAGGCAACAGGAGAGAGTTCAAACCAGAACAAATCTAGTCGCGGTCGCTTAGAAGCAAGTTTCGCGCCATTATTTAGCGAAAAAATCATCACATTTTCTTTTAGGCAGGTTGATTTAATTGAAATGGTATGGTTTAATGGGAAGCCTAGGCACTTACCTACTGCCACCGGTGAGTTTTGTTATATTCTTAAAGAAATAGTATATATTTTTACTCATCAAATCAAATGCAATATCATGTTATCATTTTTTTAACATTTCAAATGAGTGAAGTTAGTGCTAATCTAAGTCTTTTTCTTCTTCTCTTTCTTCTGTTTAAGAACCATTCTTTAGAAAGTAATAAGCTATGTCTTCTTGTTTTATGTTTTAGGACCATTTATTCCAGGATGTTCGGACATTATGTTGGATTACAATAAAACTGGATTATTTTTAAGACTATTTTATCCAACCAATGTCAAAAAAACTGATGATGTATGTACTAGTACTTCTTTAAGTAAACATCAATCTCATCTGTGGAGCGGATAACTTTTTTGTATGTTATTTTATAGGAAAATTGGAGCAAGTGGATACCATGGCTTCCAAACCATTTATATTTAATTGGAATGTCTGTAACTATAAAAGTACGTCTGTATTTACTACGTCTGATATTTTGGTGGTATGGTATGTATACATTATTTGTTAATATAATAGATTTTTAAATAAAAAAAAAAAAATATATAAAAAAATGTTGTTAAATTTATGCAACCAAGATTACAATTTTAACAGTCAAGGAATTTCATTTTTCACTTTCTATTTTCTATCAGAACTGGAGCTCTCGTTAATTGTTGAATTTTGATATAGGAACAGAACCCTTAAAGAGCTTATAGTTACCGAGATACAGGGTGCTAAAATATTTTAATCAAAATTCAAAATTTGCCATTGATCAAAAACGTCTTTAAATAGTTTTTTCATATTTGGCCCACCAATATCTTATCAAATACACGAATTATTAAATATTTGACACGTATTCTTACTAGATTAATTTATAAATATTGAGTGGTTACAAATTATCTACATGCAGACCTTTTTTGGAAGCAAATTTCGGCAACACCGTTCATTTTAGCTCCATAAAAGGTTCCTGCTTTTTTAACTAAAAATAAAGAGAGAATTAAAAAAATAAAAATAATTCAAAAAATGTTTGTTTCAGGGGCGTATAAAATAGAGGGAAAAAATTGCCACTAACCTTGATAGTGCGTGTGGTTTAATTTTTCAAAAGTTAGTTTCTGTCAAAATATTTCTTTCCTAAAGAGCATATGGGTCATCAAATTTGAAAAAAATATTTAAATGCATTTTTAATTTATGGCAAATTATAAATTTTGATTTCAAACTTTTAACACCCTATATCTCAGTAACTAAGCCTTATGCCTTATTTTATGCAACGAGTAAATATTTGCGGGACGAGCAGAGCGAGGTCCCGCAACATGAACGAATTACATAAAACGGCATTTCGCAAAAGTGTTACATGCAATATTTTTTTCTAATTTTGACTAGATTATTTATAAAATTGTATTTTGGTAAAACATCACTGACATCTAGGCAACCAATATTACTTTCTTGTATTAGTTTCATAGGCATCATTTTATTGACGAATAGAACATTATTATTCTCAACGACTTGCAGTGTGTTATTTAGTTTTCAAAAAAGTAGGTTATTTTGTCTCTATTGTATTTTAATTATTTTGTGCTGATTTGGACTGGAAAATAAGGACCAAAACAATATTAGTACTAGGTTGTAAGTTTAACCAAATTCTTTTTTTTTTTTTTTTATTAGGCAACCTGCCCTTTTTTGATAGAAACTTGCAATATTAATGTATATTTTTGATTTTAAAACGAAAAAACAGTATATTTTTATTTGTTTTATTTTCGCAATTGGTGACATAATGAATTTTTGGAAACCAGTTTCATAATGTTCAACATTCTGCAACTAGTTGCGTATAGTAGATCATTTTTACACTTGCTGCGATTACAAAAAATGTCACTTTATATGTCAAAATTGGAAAAAGTATATTAGTAAGCAAATAAATTAATTATTTTTTAATCATTACCTACATTCTTTTTTTTATATTTATATAAATTTAAACCGCATCAACTACTAAGGGTTATTATCGGTAATATGCAGTAGTTTACATTATACAGTGCTTCTCAAAAGTCCTCTCCCCCCTCTATTCTTTTGAACGGTTATACTTAGACTGATGAAATTTGGAGGGTAAAAATGAACTATTGTAAGCTTATCTACTAGTGGTAACAGGTGACGTAATAGGCATTGGTGACGTCACCAGACAACTGAAACCAATAATATTAAATGGGACCTTATTTTAACCATCAAAAACATCATAAATCCAAAAAAACAGAATGATTGAATAGGTATTCTTAATACCTTATACCTGAATAGGTATTCTTAATACCTTTCAAACGAGGTGTCACCGATGCCTATTACGTCACCTGTTACCACTAGTAGAAAAGCTAACAATAGTTCATTTTCACCCACCAAATTTCATCAGTCTAAGTATCACCGTTTAAAAGAAAAGAGGGGGGAGGGGACTTTTGAGAAGCACTGTATAAGGAAAAGGATAAAGGGGTTACATTTTTGCCTAATCTTAGAGTTTGTTTCATATGTTCATAAATTTAAGAAATTTTAAGGATCTTTCACTTTCTTTAAGGTTTATTTACACACATCAGTGCTGTATCAGTTCAGTATCAGTACCAGTCAGTATCGATTAGTGATACCAATTCACACACGTAGTAGGTTCGGTGTGCATTCAGTGAAGTTCGTGCAAGATGACTTGTTTTACTGATGATGAATGAACATAAAGAAAATCAAATAAACAAACTAAAATGGGCACATAAAGCTTGGAAGAAACGAGAAAGTGAAGGAGAATTTTTTACCCTATATAATAAGGAATTGGTGGACGATGAAACGAAATTTTTTGAATATTTTAGAATGTCTCAAAATTGTTTTAAAATATTGTTTCATAAAATAGAAGGGCAACTCGATTAGTTTTTCATCCCTATTCAAACGCAAATTCATCGAGTTTTCGTCAGTTCGTCAGTGAAATACACAAAACTATCGTTACCGACTTTAATAAAAATCACGAAACGGACACTGAAGCAGCACTGATAGTAAAAAACTTCACTACGTCGGACTGCTCTGATGAACAGGTCGATTTGAGACTATTGCAACGATATTTTATTTTTCACTGACACTGATACGACACTGATACAACACTGATACGACACTGATACGACACTGATACGACACTGATACGACACTGATACGGCAATGATGTGTGAAAATCCGTAATTTATTCGATCCGCGTAGTACTTGGCACAATCACAGAGTATGTGTTTGACGGTTAGAGGCGAAAACAGAAGACAGTTGGTCAATCCAAAGACGAGAGTAGCCGAAGATACACGATAGTCCCATCAGGAAGACATCTCGGTGTTAAGAAACCCCTTCAGAGAGTTCGTGAAAGGTTTTATTGAATGAACAGTTCCGATAATGTAAAGAACTGGTGTAAGAAATATACTATAAGTAATGGACCCCAACGAAGAAGGAAGGCCTCCATGAAGTAGTACAACGTCGGTAGCCCATTTGAGAGGATTGCCTTAGATATTGCTGGACCATTCTCCATGATCGAGGATGGTAATAAATACATGATGGTGGTTATGGATTATTTCACGAAGTGGGTTGAAATCTACGCCATTCCAAATTAGAAGCTGCAACTGTTGCAGACGTGTTAATAAATGAATTTATCAGTAGATTTGGAGATCCACAGTGACCAAGGAAACATTTTGAAAGTCAGCTTTCCCGAGGAATCTGTGACAGACTAGGCATGAAGAATACCAGAACTACGGAATTGATTGCACCCACAGTCGGATAAAATAAGTAAAGCGAATGAATAAGACGATTGGCAGATACCTAACAAAAGTGATTTTCAACCATCAGCGAGATTGGGATGAGTATCTCTCGCTCTTCTCAATGGCATATAGATCCGCTGGGTGTGAGATGAGACTACTATGCGACCTCGAGTTTGAATGCCGACCTGGAGAAGACATAGCCAGTGAAGATTACGTGATCCAGCTACGAAGAAAATGGACGACATGCATGAATTAGTTCGCTCGCATCTTCAACTCGCCAGCGGCATAATGAAGAAGCGATACGATATCCAAGTCAGAGAAGGATGTTTCAAGGAAAGCGACAAAGTCTTGCTCCATGACCCAAAAAGACAAAAGGGTTATTCTCCGAAACTTCAAAGGTGTTGGAAAGGTCTGTACCTCATTAAGAAAAAAATTAATGTCATTTACCGTATAAGTAAGATCCTGAACGGTAAACCGAAGGTAGTTCATCAAAACCGGCTGGCGCCATTTGAGGGTGACCATGACGATGAAAAAGATGTAAACCAGCTGCAAAAATGACCCGACCCTCTCTTGGAAGAAATTATCGATTGCCAGAACTTCAAAATTAGTTACCAACCCGTGGAAAAACATTGAAACTTCAAGATGGATAGCGTTACTTTTTCTATCTGGTAACAAAGAACACTTTGGCGATCGAACGACTTATCATTGTCTCGGGTTATAGAATTGTCATGTAGATGGGTTTCCTTCGGCTATGGACTGTAATTATTTTGAATTCACTTCCACTGGTTGAAATTAAAAATGTACCTTCCTTTTACTTATTTATTTAAACTCTGATACATTTTTACACTGTACTTAAATTGGTAGCTTACATATGTGGTAATTAAACGTCGCTTTATAACATCTTACTTCACTGTACTGATTTCGGCAGAGATCAAATAATGAACCTTACTGGTCAAGTGTGAGAATGAATATGACTTGTGTAAACTCGAAAACAGCGCTGATCAACCTTTTGCCCTTGTCAAGTTCTAGTGACTTAAGGTGTCGGGTCGCTATTGGTCGATGGAATCGAACGTTGGCTTGTTGTTTTATATTTTAACCGACTTTAAAAAGGAAGAGGTTCTCAATTCGTCGCAATATGTTTTATTAGGTATGTTCAGCGATAATTCTTTAACACGGTGTCCAATTTCAATGATTCTTTTTTTTAGAAAGGGGGTACTTCAGGGGTGGTCCCATATAAATTTGGTCAAAATCTTATAATTGGGTCCATGAGAAAATCCTCAAACTCTTCTTTTTTATGTATGTTTAGCGATAATGCTTTACCACCTTGCCCGATTTATATGATTCTTTTTTTGTTAGTAAGGGGGATATAATTATTCTGTGGTAAGGGGGTACCTCAGGGGTGGTCCCATAGAAATTTGGTTAAGATGTGGTGATGGCATGTGCACGTTTTTGAAGTCGGTTTTTTTTTAATTTTTAATACTTGTGAACATTTACTGAGATAGACTTATATGATAAGAGAGATGTAGTTTGAATTTTTTTAACCGTCTTGTTGTTTGCTAGTGAAGATGAGTCGATTCAAAAAATAACTTTCATATTGTATGTACAGGGTGGGTTATAAGTAGGGTTGCCAGATTTCCGAAAGTCAAAAGCGTGACAACCGTGACGACAGAGCATTAGGTTCAAATACCAAGCATTTTTATATAATCAGGTCCATTTTTTGTGAAATTTCTAAAAAAAAACTCCTCGTAAATACTAGGGTCATTTGTCCGGAGAGTTATCTATTTTTGTATAAATCCGGTTCCTCTATGGCTTTAAATTAAAAAGCGTGGCATTTGCATAAAAAGAGTGGCATTTTTGTCAAAAGCGTGGCATTTTCGTACTGTGGCGTTGCGCGTACAAGCAAGTTAAAAATCGTGGCAAATACGCCAAAAGCGTGACGTCTGGCAACCCTAGTTATAAGAGTAACTGACGTATCTTGTTAAAAAATGTTTGTCATCTTTGAACAATCATGATGTATGGGAGGCATTGCTTAGTTTGAGGTAGCATGTATTGGAGTCCAATGTACAGACACTAGCCATGCCAAGATTGAGTGCAACCAGCTAGATTGGAGGATCATTAGAAACATGGTGGAAGTATTCTTCCAACTTCCAAGATACCGAATTCCAAATATTGGACTGCAGCCATTCTCCCATAGTGTTTAGGTTATAGCGAAGACCGTCCCTTTTGTTACTTCCATGCAACTGGAAATTGTAAAAGAGGATTCAGTTGCAGATACAACCATTCAGTTTTAGTTCCAGGTGGAACTATTTCTTAAGAAGGGGACAATGTCGTGCGAACACCTGAGCCGACTCTGTTCTTCGATCTTTAGCGCGACGTTGTGTCTGGCACCTGACTCTTGATCGAAACATTTCCGGAATTATCTAGGTATGCACGAACGCTTCGAGATTCTTCTAGCAGGATTGATTCTTTTCTAGGACGATACATTTTTGTATAAATAGCGCGACTTTGTCGGTAGACGAAAAGTTTCAATTTAAGTGTTGGATAGTAAAGGCAAATTGTAATAAATAAATTAGAATTGTGAGTTATAATAGCGCCTAAGTATTATATAAATTAATTAGTACGTTATAAATAAATTGTTTTTAATATATAAACTATTTTTAAATTAAACAAGCGTTACACTATTAAGGGATGGGACAGCAATAGAGTCCTGAAGGAACATCCATTCACCTATTCGACTCTCTATGTAAATCAAAATCCTTCGTGACAGGTTAACTAATTTTTTAAGAATATCATGGATAATTCTTTGGTTTAGTGTAAGCCAATGACTGGGGTAATAATATAGTTGTTTGGTTTATTGTATTTACTTAAAATATTTATTGGATTTAAAATTTTTGGCCATTCTTTAGATTTTACTATAATAATGCCAATTATTACACTATATTGAAAACGCCCTTGTGTATGGCCGAGTCGGGCTTGCGAGCGAAGCTAATAAAGAGGAAAAGTTCAATAAAGTGTGTATTATATACGTGCGACGTACCTATATGATTTTATATTCCTATGCGATAAAATAATGGAGAATAACTTTCTTGTTTTATAAATTCATATTTTGAATCCTGTAATGAGAATATTCATTGACCATATATTGTATTGTTCTTGGAAAAAACTCTATTCTAAATATTGTAAAATAAAATGTTGCTATGGAACAATCGACGAATCTTTAATTTTTCTAATTTTGGCTTAATCTTGATCTTCCAGAGAAATGAATAAACTTTGCTTAAAATAGTGTTTATTTTAAACACCAACTCATTTTATAATTAATTTTTTGTAATCAAAAATATATTTAATTATATTTACTTTAACAATTTATCTTTGCTCAATAATATTTATCTCTAAACTAAACTAAGTAACTGCAAAAGAATCCATTTATATACAAACACATTATGTCCTAAAAGTATATTAATGTTCTGGACTCTAGAAACCCTTCCTCTACGAGTCGGCGTAGGCATGCATGCAAACGAACTTCTCCAGTCTCGATCCGCCAGCGGCAGTGAAACACAGGCGGGCAGCTGAACGGCGATATCGTAAATAAAGATCAGAGCTGGACTGCTTGAGAATGGCTCGCACGACAAAAGAGATGGTTCTCTTTGCAAGAGATTGTTAGATGGTTTTCCCTATAGGATTATCCGCTACTAATTTTACTGTTCTTGTTTTGACCCGCTAGTTTTAATATACCTTTTTAGATACATAATGCCATTTTGATGCAGAATGTTTTGATTTATATTACAGGTAATTATCACATACCAGTTTTGTATGGAGAAAAAGTAAAGACCGAGGAAAATATGAAATGCATAATTTTTTCTCATGGCTTAGGAGGTAGTCGATTTTTGTATTCCAAAATATCCATTGACTTAGCATCACATGGATTTTTGGTTGCATGCTTAGAACATAGGTAAGTACTAAAAGGATCATTTATTTTCCCAAATGTTTCATGTAAGAATGATAATACATTTGAGGACATTTCACGATGTTGGGCACAGAAAACGATCTTTAATAGCTTAAGAAGCTCTATGAAAAGTGGAGGAATTTATTAAAATATCTTTCCAGTTCTTTTCCTTTATTACTCGACTCGATTTGGCCAAAAGATAGTGTCCGGATTTGCTCATAAAAACCTTTCTCGACGAACACTGTCTCTACCAACAAGCTATACAGAACAGACAATTCACTCTAGGATTCAAGTCTCCTTAACAGTTCTGTCAACTATTAAATTATTGTATTTTTATTGGCTTAATAGCCTTATAATAATGTCTTGCGTAATAAACTGCACTATGTCATTGTCGACTCATAGATAAGAACCTTCTATCCAAATAAAATAGGTCGATGTGCCTCTCGCTTTGTAAGTCCTCGTTATAACACGTACTCACCATGAAACCCCAATTTATTCTTGACCAAACTTAAATTCTTTTGTGACGCTCATTTCGCCAGTATTATTCTCTTACACACCCATTTTTCAGATCCTGGTCATTTGAAAAGCGAATTCCTTTTTTTCTTTTTTATTGGTTTTGGTTATATGGCTATTAGGAACGAGTCCTCAAATAATTCCTCGTACAATTATGTACTAATTTAAAACGAAATTTACAATATATTTTAGGGACAATTCCTCTTGTCACACCTATTACTATAGCAGCCAAGAAGATGCTGCAGAGAATAAGAAGACTGTTATAGATTTTCAACATATACCATTCGGGGAAAACCACTATGAAAAACGAAATGCACAAATAAAACAAAGATCTATAGAATGCATAGAGACAATCGATTTTTTTAAGAGGTTGAATAGCGGCACAGTACCAAAAAATATTTTGGACGATGTTGAAGAAAGAAAAGATAATAATTTTCGTTTGGATGATCTAGTAGGCAAAATAGATATTAATAATTTTACGCTATTTGGTCATTCTTTTGGAGCGGCTACAGTTTTATATACTTTACCTAAGAGAAAAGAGATTAAGTAAGAGTTTTTTTGAACTGCCATAACGTTATAATTATCTTTTTTTGTTTTTCAGACAAACCGTGTTATTAGATCCGTGGATGTTCCCTATAAAAAATGAAAACATCCACGAAATTGTCGATATACCACTACTGTTTGTCAATACTCAAACTTTTCATATAGATTCAAACGTCAAAGCAATGGCTAAGTTTATGACAAAGAATAATAGAGAGATGTATACTATTCGGTAAGTATTATAAACATCCAATAATGCCATATATGCTTTTTTGTTTTACTTCTTCACAGACAAAAAAATTTCGCAGAAATCCCAGAATACTGATGTTATTAAAATCGTCTTATTTCACCCTACAGTAAACCTAGTTTTAAGAACCAAATATTACTCCTGGATACTCAAATATATTCATATTTCTTGATTTAATTCAATTTCAAACTGCTCTTTGAAAGTTGAATATAATGAAAAATCTTTTGAATATTTTGTTAAGATTCTTCATTGAGAATGTTTATTGGCCATATTTTCTTCGATCTTCTGTTCTTTTCTATTTTATTAGCAGCCGTAATTCGTTGTTGATGTGTGTTTATCATTTCTGATTATTATGTTTCTGTTTCCTTTTTTAATTGTCACTTATACTGTTGAGATATGGATTTATCATGTGAGTCATAACATGGATCATAACCTAGACAGCACAAAAATATTGCATGAATATTCAGTGTATATCTCAATCGCATACTCCTATATTCCATGGATATGCCATATTCGCCATGGCATATGTACAGGGAAGATTGCAGGTACATTCAAGGTCACCATGAAACATATACCCACGATATGTTTTTATCTGCCAAAATATATCTATAGCATATTCTCTGGATTTACTGAGGATATCTATGTTTGCCTATATTCATGGTATTTTGAATATTCATGACATATTACATTTTTTTTAATGCAGTAGTACGGGGTGTTTAGAAAATAAAACTCATTCTTAAATACAAATTTGTAATACAAAATAAAGCAAATATTCTAAAAATAAAAACAATACATACATACAAACAAACAAAAAAATATAAATTTTAATATATTTGTTGAGGTTCTTCACGTACCTTTCTCCTAAAAAATGATTCATAAAATATGTATATTTATTATGAGATATTTACAGATTATTCAAATATACATTTTGAAGCTTATTATAAGTGTTAGAATTAAGATGAAATATCAGTATAATAGAAATATTTCAAAATCTTGAGACAAACATTACAGTAATACTTTAACTTCTGTAGAATCTTTGGGTCACTTTAGTTTCCTGCTAAGTTTTAGTATTTTGGGTTTTCTGCTCTTGGATAAATGAATATTTTGGACTGCCTGAGTCCAGAGTCCAGGAAATTTCAACCAGAACTTATGGTGTTGTCTATTTATCTGTTTTCTTTACCATGTCAACATTAAATAGCACACGTGGGTTTTTGTCCAGTAAATGTTTTCTCAGCCCCCTCTTCTAGCAAGAAGGTCTGCGTTCTCGTTTTTCAACACTCCCTCATGTCCCGGCACCCATTAAAGATTAACTTTATTATGTTCTGACATGTGCCTGGAGGAATCGTTACTGTTGGTAGTCCAATATTACTTTGAGTTGTAGTTCTACCCTTTGCAGTACTTTGAGGATTGACTGCCTGTCTGTCATAATAAAGACTCTTATCTTTAAGAGAATCATTCTTTAAGCATGATTAGGTGTATGCGTTGTCAGCATAGATAAATTAATAAAGAAGATAGTCGGATCCCGTGTTAATTTTTGGAAACAAATAGTGCTGCGAATTAGTATGAAACGGATTTTTTTTGAACTACACTGGCTGATTGACTTGACAGTTAGAGGCAGAATAAAAAAGAGAGGAATAAAAAAAGAAGAGCCAACCGCGGTTTATTCAAATATAATTTATTATTTATTTACATTTTTTTGGCATTCATACTCTAAAGAAAAAACTAATATTTACATCAAAATAATGTATTTAACATAAATATTAGTTTTTTTTCGTAATAAAACCCCAAAAATATAAAAAAAAATATTTACATTAAAATGAAATATTTGAAACATATTTTTTAATTATTTATTTACAGTGATACATACATAAGCTCCATATTAAATAACAATTGTAAGTAAAATTAATAGTAGGTAGTTTCCCCCTTTCTTGGAAAAATGAACCATATTTTGTTGGGTGTCCAGTGTTTCCTATAAAAACAATAAGTGTACATATGTCTTATTGAACAATTTCTCTTATCAAATATTAATAAAATACAACTTTTTCTCTTTAGGGCTTAAATTTCTGACTACTTTTATTTATTTATTGTTTTTCTTCGTTTCGAGAGTCGTTCAAATTGTTCATCACTAATTATTAGGTTTACGTTTGCAACTAATTTCTTGTTTTTCTTATACTGCTATATTTGTGCTTCAGCTTCAACTTATTCTAAAATCTAAAATCGATAATGGCGTTAACTAATAGTATGCTGGGAACTACAACGTGTTGACAGAGGCGTGCATTTAAAAAATTCATCTTGTTTTATTAGTTTATCTATGGTTGTCAGTGAATCTGGGTCTTCCCTGAGTTCGCTTAGTCCTCTCTCCATTACTGTTTTGTATATTTGTACAGTTTGTATTATCTAATGATAATTATTCGAGATTATCTGCCTATCAGCTAGTAAAGTTCTGTTATTTTATACAGTTTTTTTTTTTTATTTCAGTCAGAGCACACACGAAAACCAGACTGATACTGTCCTTATCAGCAGGTATTGGTTGAATTTATTTATGAAAAAAATAGACCCTCAACAAGCAATGAGAATTAATAATGCTCTTGTTTTAAAATTTCTTCATCAGTTTGTTAATACTCCTGCGGATGTAGAACAATATAAATCCTATTTACATCAAAATGCGCAACATTTTGAAGAAGGTTTAACCAAACCATGGAAGAAATAAATATATTATTGTAACAATTTAATAAAATAATCGTTTTTTTTTTCAATTTGAATCTATTTTATTATTATTTATATTATTCTTTGAGCATTTGCCAAAACTTGGTACGAATCAGAACCATAGACATCACAAAACATACATCTGTGGATCCACCATTCATTAGACTGGAACCTCCGGTATTTTCTAGAATAATTGTTATCTAAGCGCTTTCATCTTCATTACCAGTGCATTCTAGAATGAATGATTTAAATTTGATTACAATTAAAGTAATTACAAGGTGTCGCCCTAAATAACCTGGACTAGACAACATTTAGCGTGTCTAAATAGATAATTAAAAAATATTTTTTTAATTGACCCACTTTCAATGTGTTCTAATCTTATAGTGATGAATTTACTATATAAAATTGATTTCATATAATTATTTTTTTAAAGTAAATTAATTTTAAAAATAGACATGCTAATGCGTCACCTTATCATTGTTTTTCAATATGTATATGCATATAAATACAGGGTTACTCATTAATAATAAGGCATAACATGTAGCAACTGGAGATATTGTACTCGCCAGCTATGATGAATTTTTTAGGTCTTAATAGCCACTGTTTTAGGAATATTAGTTGGTGTGACAAATCAATAGCTTCACCGGAGGGTCTGGTAGGGTTATAAATGCGTGACTTAACCTCATCCTAGTTGGCGGTTACAATTTCATTATTTATAGTCTAGAGAAGAAAGGAGTGCAGTAATTTAATTTTCAGAACGTAGTACCTACAGGTTTAAGAGGTAGATATTTATTTATACCTCATCCTTCAATGCTTATTTGTAGTTAAAATGAAAATTTTAATACATTTGATGAGCCAAATAAAAGTTTTCGTTTAGATTTAATCATGGTTTTTTACTGTAGTAAACCTTTTTTTCGACAGATAAGTCAGACTTTATTTATTCATAGCCGTATCGTATGTATTTTAATTAATTCAGAATTTTGTATTAGTATATATTATAAACGTAATAGGTGAACACAAAGGATTATCTTCAAGAGTTTGTTTCACTTTCTGTGGATGAAATAGCCACTAAATGTGAGACCTACAACATTACTAAAGAAGATGCAGTTATTGGAGAAGTCTTGACATATTCCGAAAAAGCCCCCAGGAAGAAACAAGACCTTTATTGAAACTTCGGTAAATAATGTAATAAGGCAAATGGTACATTCTTTTTCGTTTTGAAATGAAATTCCTACACTTAAAAAATTAGACTCAGAAATAAGAAATAGCCCCACTCTTCCAAATATATCATATTTTCATCTACAAAAAATATTACATAAATTAATTTTTCGATACAAATAACGTGACAGAAACAGCTTTTTACCAGAGAAAGACGAAATCATTGCGAGGACACATGATTATTTAAGGAAAATAGCGGACGCGAGGTTTTATTTAGATGAAACATGAGTTAATGCTGGACATAGAGTGACAAAAATTTGGCAAGATACTTCCATCGAAACTAAAAATAAGCCTTTATAGAAGGGATCTCTTGTGGATTGAAAAATCCAGCAGGAAAAGGAAATCCTTTAATAATAACCCACATTGGAAGCACCGCTGAATTTTCGCTAGATAGTTTATTAATGTTTAAGTTAAAGAATGTGCCATGAAGAAATGGATGGCCCATGTTTGAAAATTGGTTTGAGAGCATTATTAAAAAAATTCCAGCCAACTCCGTTATTGTTTTGAATAATGCATTCTACCACAGTTGATTAAAAGAGTCACTACCTACAACAAGATGGAAAATAGAAGATATTTGAAAATGGCTTCATTCTAAAAATATTATCAGTCCTACTAAATCCTTGAAGACAGAATTACTCATAATAGCAAGGCAACAAAAAACAAATTTAAAAAATATATTATAGACGAGATGCCCCAAAAAAAAACGAATTGAAATTATCAGATTGTCTTCTTAACATGCAGAGTTAAATCCCATTGAACTGATCGGGGGCCTATTTCATAAAACTACTTTGCAACTTTTCACTTTGTACTTTGCAGATGTACAAGTGTAAAATACTTTTGTTTTATAAAATAATATAGTAATATTTGCTGGTTATTAATTTTTCATATTCACTTTGCAAATTGCTTTCCGAATTATACTTTTTAGCTCGTCAAAATTCTCTTTTATGAAACATACATTTGTTAAAATATGCAAAGTGCAAAGTGAAAAGTTGCAAAGTAGTTTTATAAAATAGGCCCCTGGTCACAATTAAATGGTAATGTTTTTCGAAACAATAAATTTAAATTACCTGATGTGCGAAATTTGTTTTTGGAGGCAGTTTCAGATGTAAATGGAGAACATTGGAGAAAATGCATTGATCATGTTAAAAAGGTGGAAAATTTATTTTGGAAAGTGAATATAGCAATGGAAAACTTGATAGACAATATATGATAATAAACTTTGAAAAAGACAATGATAATGATACCAGTAGTTATAGTGAAGACAGTGACTTTTAAAGAAAGTTCTTGAACTTTTTATATTTTTGAATCTTTGATTTTAGGTACTGAAGTGTTACTTTTAATGCCAATAGTTTAAAAAAAGTTTAACCCCATAAAAAGCATATAATCCTCCTTGTTATTTATTGGTTAAATTTAATTTGTTGGAAGCATAACTGTTATTTTTATTTTTTGTAAATAATTTAATTTTTTATTCAAAATTTAATCTATGAACTGCGTATATACCATTTTATATGCCGTTACCTTATTTATATTATAGAAACTTATTTTGCAAAGTACACCTATGGAATGTGATGTTATATCCCAACTTTTACTACACTCCTCTTTTATTCAGGTATATGTATTAGAAATATTGTTTAATGAATTTTATGAATTATCTGCTCTGATTTTGGGATTTGAACCCCAGACCATATTTTAAGACTAACGACCATGGAGTTATAAGGTAGAGAGACGCTATAAGTATCTTTTTCAAACATTCAAAACGGTATCACTTGGCGTGGATGTTGTCAACCCAATATGGCCGATTCGCCAGATACGGACTTTTCTGAATGAAACCCAAACCTACATTTTTTTTTTTTAGAAAATTTAAGTAATATTTATTAATTGTTATAAAATGGATGATTAAGGTCATAAAAACTAATTTTTAGTAATTCCACCGAGAATTCCACTTATTGATAAAATAAGTTTCAAGGAATAAAAAATGTGCAAGTGGAAGATAGTATTTTATAGAATAATAAAGTCTAGAAATTTCATTTAATATATCATGGTATAATATAACTGTTATTTTAGACCGAAACTGATATAACATAGAATAATCAGTTCGTAGGTTTGAAAATATATTATGGCAAAATAAATAATATAAAAATTATGTTTATATTGGCCATTAAAAAATACAATTTTATGATGTCTTATGCTATCATATTTTTTTATTTTATTTTTAATGAGGTAAAACATCCTAATGTTTGTATATTTGTTAGGTTATACAAGGGATGCTGATCAAAACTGTGCAATTTGCAAATATATTTTAATTTATAAATTACTTGTATCACTGAACACACTACCCATTTTACTAAAATAAAGTGGATAATTTAAAGTAATAGCTCTTTAAGCGACGTTATTAACCTGCAGGACTCTGACCAGAGAGGCTGGCTATCACTAGACACCCCCCAGCGATAACCAGCTGGTTTTTGATAATTTAATAACCTGCAGAACTTCAATGAGCTGGGAAGATGGCTGTCTAGACACCTCTCAGCGAGAACCAGCAGGTTTTGACAAGTTGAGAGGCAGGTCGTATATGCTCCTGAAGGATGCACAAGAGGCCTTATGAGGCCTAAGTGCTGTCCCCACCTTACAGATATTACACTACACGGAAAAACAGAGCCAAATAAATTATTTATTTGAAAAATATACGACTGCCATAGGTTTTTTATCTATTTTAAAAAATAAATCAATTACCATAAGTAAACACGTATTTCTGCCACAAGTAAACAAGTTTCTTAAAACTGCTTTAATAACCAGAAAATCAGATATATTTACTATTAGTTAACTTTTACTTATGGTTAAAAACATTCACTTACGGCTAGCCAGGCCCCCGCAAGGGTTATCGCCGCCCGCGTGCCGGAAATATTTTGGCGCCCTTTGAATATATGTAGTACTTATATAAATAATATTTTGAAGAAAAACAACTTTAAGCTGTTACTTATGTTTTTTAAATTTCCTGGTTTGATGTAATATTCTTGTAGTCGTTTAACATTTGAGCGAATTGCGAAACCACATTTTATTTTAATTTTGTAATGAAACAGATATTTCAAAAACCAATATTTTATTCTTACAAACGAAAAAACAAACCAAACAGTTAACAAATAAAACATTCAATTATCCAAAAATTAAATAGGTTTTTTCCTGGATTTGGATGCTGCAAATTCTTTTATAATATTGTCAAAATCAATTTTATCGAGGATCTCTTGCTCTACAGCTAAGATTGCCAAACCCGATAATCTTTCTTGTGACATGGTAGACCTCAAATAATTTTTAATTTTGAGAAGGATCTCTCACCAGAAGCTACAGATATAGGTAAAGTAAGCAGGATTCTTAACGAAATGGTAATATTTGGTAGAGATGAAGTTCAAATATCGAGGAGATTTGAAGCTTCAGGTAATGAAAACAATCTTAGGGCTTTTATCTCATTAAATAAATCATTTTCTTCTACGTCAGCCTCCTCCTTTTTCTGATCAGTTAGCTTTTGCTGTAGAGCACGACAGCATTTTAAAAGATCCTCGTCATTTAATTTGAAAATATCACTAAAAAACCAAAATCGTTGTCGTAATCAGCTATCATTTCAAATCTACTATTTAAAGAACATAGTGTTTGATCAATTATTTTTAAAAATAAATTTATTTTAAACGCTGTTTTTGGATCTTGAGCTGTCTCTCTGTTCATAATCGAAGAGTTTTGGTTTATACTTTTGTGATGTATTTAATGCTCTATCTCAAGAGCGGTAGCTAGTTCCCCAGCTTGAGCAAGTTTTTCCTCGAAAACATTATCATCTCTATAATTTTTAAAATGATCTATTTTTACAGTTGATTCGGAGCTTAACTTATTTTCAATTTTTACACGCTGCTTCCTATTTGTTAGATAGTCTTTAAAAAGTTCCAGAGCAATACCCCTAATACCATAGTTATTCAACTTGACAATAAGTTTGTTATGATCGACTGTGTCGAAAGCCTTGGCCAGATCAAGAAATACCGCCTGGCACTTCATTGATCCGTCCAAGGTCCTCGCAACTGATTGATAGAGATCAAGCGCGTCATCCTCAGTACTACAATTTTTAAGAAAACCAAACTGATTTGGAGTTATAATTTGATTGTGTTCTAAAAAATTTATTAATCTTTTTTTAAGAGCTTGTTCGAATAACTTCGCAAAGTTATTTATCACTGAGATAGGTCTGTAATTCGTGAGTTTTATAAATAGGCATAACTACTGATTCCTTCCATTTTACAGGTAATTTTCCACGGGTAAAACAAAGGTTTATGATATGAGTCAATGGATACAATATGTTTGTATGGATATGTTTGATGAGTTGACTACTAATTTCGTCTGGTCCGGAAGAACAATTGTTTTTTAGTTTATTAATTAGTATAATTAGTTCTGTTGTTGTCACAGGTTCTATAAAGAATGATGACTCCAAGACAATATCATTTAGAAAATTGTGAGGCAGATCGGTTTTTTTATGGTTCTAGCCATATTGTCACCTAGATTTATAAAAAAGTAATTAAAAATGTTTGCCTATTCATCATTATTCTTGATAATATTACCGTTTTCATTAGTAATATTAGTATTTGCAATTCGCGACTTATTTTTACTG